GATCTTCCCAAGATCTCTGTCTCGGATGTTGTACTCAGGTCCCTCACACTCCATGCCCATACTGTCCCTCCGCGGGCTGATGGAGGAGCCCAAGGGCAACTTTCGCTTCTCACTGCCTCCTGAGCCCAACGCTAGAGCTATAGATCAGCCAACCAGGTCTTGCCACAACATTCCAGCAGTGAAGTTCCAGGATTTGAAATCTTTCAGCCCAGAATAACTGTAGCCAAGCAACGCAACTAAACACGAGTGCATGTGCGCACCTCAGAAGTCTCCATGGAGTTTAGCCAATGCAACAACAGGAAGCTGTTTTCATGGTTTCAGAGACTGTGGCCATGTGTGTCATCAAGTACAGACCTGGGAGGAGAAACCAATGCTCATCCTCCAGATGAAATGAAATGCATTTCTGCAAGACTCTGAGCCCTCCCCTTTGGACCAACCTTGCCTTTACGTCTTCTTGACTTTATTTTGCTTTTATTTTCCCCCAATTAAATCTTTAATCAATCCAAGATTTATTGTGGAGCATGGTATAACATTTAAGAACTTGTTTGCCAGCCCACACACAGACCCATCAGCAGAAGGGAGGGCCTGACTGATGGGGATTGAACACAACCCCTGTTGAATCTTTGGATAATGCTAAGCTATGCAGACACAGTAGTAACCCTTGGGAAGCAAGACTTAACATTTTTAAAAATAAGCAGAGACATCAATGGCTGCATACTGTAATAGAGACAGACTTCACAAATTTACTGAATGCAAGTTACTCAACAAAACAAGAACAACGCTCTGGGGAGACAATCAGAATTCGTAATTGCTTCATTATCTGAAATTCAACAAGACAGCAAAGAAACAAGTGTGACCCTGACTAAGGAAGAAAAGCATTAAATATAAACAGTCCGAGTATCTCCAGTAGTTGGATTTAGCAGAGAGCAAAAAGCAGCTATTACGAACATCTTCAAAGAACTAATGGAAGTCACATTTAAAGAATTAATGAAAATGTTGATGAAAATGATGCAATGCATGAAGAATGTCAAAAAAGAGATAGAAAGTATATGAAAGAACCAAATGGAAACTTGGAACTGAAAAATAATACATCTGAAATGAAAAATTTGGTTAATTTGAGATGGCAGAAGAATCGGTGAACTTAAAGAAGGATCAACAGAAATTATTCAGTCTGAAGAGGAGACGAGGAAAGAACAACGAAGAAAATGATCAAAGCTTTAGAGATCAGTTCAACATCAAATATATCAATACGTGTGTAACAAGAATACCAGAAGGAAAAGAGAGAAACAAGAGGGCAGATAAACATATTTGAAAGAAATAACTGCCAAAAACTTCTTAAATTTGATGAAAAACATTAATCTACAGATCCAAGAAGCTCAACAATCCCAAGGAGGAAAAACACATGGAGACCCACACCTAAACACATTATAGGCCAACTGTTAAAAGAGAAGGCTAAGAAAAAAAATCTTGAAAGCAGCAAGAAAAAACCCATTTATCACTAGAGGAGACCAAAATTATAATTAACAGCTGACTGTTAAGTTGTAACATATGATGACGAGAGCAAAGAGAAGGGAAGAAAAGGAGATAGATAGGAATAAAGTTCCTACATTTTACCAGAATTAAATCCATATTATTTTGAAGTAGACTGTGATAAGTTACAATGCATATTGTCATACCTAGAGTGACCACTCAAATATAACTCAAAACAGGAGGACCAGAGTGATCACTTTAGATAAGGGAAAAACAAAAAAGAAATAGCAAAATGGCAGATGTAAAAACAATTCTATCAATACTAAATATGAATGAACTGAACACCTCACTCAAATAATTGAGACTGTCAGACTGGATTAAAAAAAGCAAGATCCATTTGATAAAGACTTGTGTTCAGAGTACACGATCTTTTACAACACATAAGAAGACAAACAACCCCAAAAAAGGGGTGGCTTCTCCAAAGAAGATATAGAAACGGCCAACAGCATAGGAGAGGATGCTCAACGTCACTAGTCCTAGAGAAATGAGATGCTACTTTGTATCCACTAGTATGGCCTTATCAAAAAGACAGACTAAAAGAAGTACTGTAGACGATGTGGAGAAACTGCAACCCTCCTACATTGGTGGCTGGAAAATAAAATTGTATAGTTACTTTGAAAAGAGTTCTTCAGGTTCTTAAAAAGTTCAACAGAAACTTACTGCATGACGGGCAATTTCAATTCTAGAAGTCTACCCAAGAGAAATGAAAACACGTGGTCACACAAAGATGTATACACACACACACACACACAAATATATACACAGAGAGAGGGAGATGCAAGGAGGGAGGAGAGGAGAAAGGAATAGGGGAATAAAAAAAATGGGACAAATGAAAATAATTAGTGAATCTAATCAAGGGTATATGGGAGTGGCTTGTATTATCCTGGTAACGTTTCTGTAAGTTTGAAAGTACATCAAAATTTAAAATTACCAAAAAAAGAGCGAGAATATATCCTGTAGCATGCTCCCTCTATCAACTTCTTCAATGAAGACTATAGATGGCTTATAAGTTATTAGAAAAGTGTAGGTAATTTTAATAAAATCACTTCAAGAATATAATTTGAGGGGTCAGCCCCAAGGTGTAATGGTTAAGTTCAGCATGCTCCACTTTGGCAGCCCAAATTAGCAGCTTGGGATCCCAGGTGTGGATCCACACCAATCATCAGCCATGCTGTGGTGGTGACCCACATATAAAAAAAATTGGAGGAAGTTTAGCACAGATGTTAGCTCAGGGCTTATCTTCCTCATGTTAGAAAAAAGAAGAAGATTGGCGATAGATGTTAGCTCAGGGCCCATCTGCCTCAGCCAAAAAAAAAAAAGCATATAATTTTGTTGTAAAACCAACACAATGTGCTTTAAAATAATTTTTCTATTGATTTAAATAAACTCACCTGTAAATCCTGTAACAAGACATGAATATTCACAAAATCCAAATGAAACCTTTTCATTTCTAATTCAGGGTAATTCAAAAGTTCACTTGGAATCTGTACAGTTCATTGACCTCCCCGCCTTCCAGGGACACTGGGATCTGGGGCCTATGAGAAAGAATATGTCTGGGTTCGGGGCCAAAGATGGCCACTTCGACCCTGATCCCAAGGCACAAGTTACTGAGACAATGTCCTGTGTCATGTTCCTTGTCTGAGCTGGCCACCTCGACGGGCACCTGACCAGACTATAGAAACGTCCCATCCGTGGGAACAAGAAGAAATAACTCAAAGTATCTAAATGTCTGAAACCCTGAGTCAGAACCTAGAGAAACCTTAGGGTAAAAGGGAGTCACAGGCATAGAATAATTGCGAGTCTCCCTGAGGAGAGGACGCTTTGCCTCAGACCCGGACAATCGGCACTCCCGCCCGCTTACAAACTGTTGGGACTTCCCCAGCTGCTGGTGGTGTGGATGTTGTAAGGACAGATTTGTTGTTCTTTGTTTCCATGCTCCTTGTTCTGTTGCGTTTTATCAATAAACTCTGATTGCTTAAACAACCAAGTAGCCTTGGCGGTACCTGTCATTTCTTGCCCTTTGCAGCTGTGGACAACAGAAGGGGACTGAGTTTTTGGTTTTATTTTGCTTTTAATACCAACCATAATCATATAATTATTCACAATTTGCGATATGTTACTTGTTATTTAACAAAATACTATTGCTTTGAAATAAATTTCATTAGTCAGAGTGATAGTAATATTTTTTTAAAAGACCATGAAAATGCAAGCTGCATTTGTAAAAGGTTGTAATCATCTAAATTCTGATTTTATCTGTACATTTACAATTCTTTACTCTTAGATTTTCAAAAAACCATTTTATATATGGTCAATGTGGAGTATAATTAAGTTCATCTTAGTGAAGTTTCCACTGATGTATGTATGAATATGGTTTACCAACAGCCAAATAGCATCATTTCTTTTTTTCTTTTTTGAGGAAGATTAGCACTGAGCTAAGATCTGCCACCAATCCTCCTCTTTTTGCTGAGGAAGATTGGCCCTGAGCTAACATCCATAGCTATCTTCCCCTATTTTGTATGTGGGACACTGCCATAGCATGGCTTGATGAGCCGTGTGTAAGTCCACGCCCAGGATCCAAACCCATGAACCTCAGGCTGCTGAAGTGGAGTGCATGAACTTAACCACTACACCACCGGGCTGGCCCAGGATAGTTTCTCTTCTTTTTTTCATATGAGGATGTTATTCTGTTTTTTTTTATTAAGTTCACAATAGTTTACATCATTGTGAAATTTCAGTTGTATGTTATTTCTTGTCAGTCACCATATAGGTGTTCCCCTTTGCCCCCTGTGCCCCCCGACTCCCCTCCCCCTGGTAACCACTGGACTGTTTTCTTTGTCCATGTGTTTGTTTATATTCCACACATGAGTGAATTCATGTGGTCTTTGCCTTTCTCAGTCTGGCTTATTTCGCTCAGCATAATTTTCTCCAGGTCCAGCCATGTTGTTGCAAATGAGATGATTTTGTCTTTTTTTTATAGCTGAGTAGTATTCCATTGTATATGTATATACCACATCTTCCTTATCCAATCAGCGGTTGATAGGCACTTGGATTGCTTCCATGTCTTGGCTACTGCGAATAGTGCTGCAATGAACATAGGGGTGCATGTGTTACTTTGGATTGTTGATTTCAAGTTCTTTGGGTAGATACCCAGGAGTGGGATAGCTGAGTCATACAGTATTTCTATTTTTAGCATCATTTCTTTATCAAAGATAAATGGTACTATCTGGAAATAAAGACAATCCCTCAACAGTTTCACTTTGCTAAGTAAAAATACTTCCCAGGAGCTAAAGGCACAGTTTTTATTCACATCTAGTAATAACCAACCATAAAATCATTACTTATTTTTGGCTTGATACCTGATGGACATTTCTCAAACAAGCTGTTTTCAATCCTCATAGCTCTTTATTTTATTTATTTGCTCTTTGCAGGAGGTGTCCATCATGAGAATAACCAAAATTAGATAACTATGACAAAAGACTGACAAAGTATTTCACACCCTTGAGTGATGTCAAGTCGAGAATGGAGGGAAAGCATTGCAAAAGGAGATTCCTGCAATGCTACTTATCTTCTTGCAATAAACCCAGCAAGGCCTCCGTTCCAAGAGAGCTACCATCTCACTTCCAATTTCTTCCCCTCAAGAATAATCTGAATCTCCTTGGCATCCAAAGTCTCATAGGTCAACAAAGCTTCTGCTAGATTCTTGCGCTCTTTTGCATGAGTCTTCAAGATATGTTTCGCTCGTTCATATGAGTCCTGAAATAGTAGATACGTAAGAGGCAGAAAATTTAGGAGAAGCAAAAACCATAAATGAGAAAAGAAAAAAACTTTATGTACCTTAAAAAATGTGAAATCTACTGATTCCTATTTATAAAAACTAAAGGCATTTACAAACTTGGTTCCCAAATATAATTCTTTCATACTTTCAAGTGTTCTATTTTTAACCTCAAAATCTATCACACAGATAACTGCGGACTTCTTAGACAAAAAGCTACCTAAAAAAAATTAAAATATGGGTTGTACTTGTCTACTTTTAAAATAAGGTCTGCGATCATAAAAATCTATCTTTCTATTCAATATATATGTTAAAAAGGAAAGAAAGTTTGCTCCTTTTGACTCAAGATTTCACCAATTTATTCAATCTAAAATGGCCAGAAAGGATATACTTTTCCATTCTTTTACTTGGTAACACTCACTTGTCAATTGGTGACACCTGTAACACAGTATTATTGCAGATCCTGATTTTCATATATTTGATTTGATTTTTGCAACCCACGTGAAATTTGTCACTTAAATCCTTCAACTGTCTTTCCAAAAGTAAGTTTGGATTAAGTTTATCAGCTCATGATTAATGGCACTAATAATAGTTCATTTTTGGCAATGTCACAACATTTGCCTGTACAATGTCTATGCCAATATTTGAATATTTAATCATATTTTTGCCCTTATAAAATTGGGTGGAAAGTGTAAAAATGAATTTACCAACACCAAGAAGCATAGGTCATATAAACACAACACAATCATTAGACATTCTGAACGTAATCTTTATGTTCAAGTGAAATAATCAAATTAAAGAAAATATATAAAATATTTCAAAGATATCATGAAAGATTACAACTAAAAACAAGAATAAATTACCAATAACCCTTTAAAACTCTCCTGGAATGAAGTCCCTACTTTGTAACATGTAAGACTACCATCAGGTTTTTATGCTTTTAAATCTCGTACACATTTGAACCTAAAACACTCCTAACCAGCAGTCCTGTCTCCCTCATAATTATGCCCTTTAAGTGGAAAGGTCGCCTACTATCTTTCCAACCTATCATTTCAGAAGAAAAGGATCCAATTTTTGCTATTCTGTTTTCTGAGTTTTTGGAAATGTGTTATAGAAAAGAAAGAGTATTTCCAAGCTATAGGAGTGCTTGCGTATAGATAATTTACTCAGAGTAATATATATAGTATACATAAAGGGAGGAAAAGAGAATGAAGGTTCTGCGAAGGCAGAGATTCTGCCTCTTCTGAAATGCCTTCTCCACCCTTCCATTACATAAACTTTGCCCATCCCTAACCACTCTAAAGCATTTCTTCCACCTCCTTGAATTACTCAAAGCCTGGGAGCCCGCTTCCTCTAACCCCTCAGGGGCAGTTACTTATCGCTCTTATACCAGGTACTTCAGGGTAAAGAGGTAAGCTCTTTGCCCCCATCACCACATAGAACTCAATTTTTAAAAATGTCTTTAAACCAGCCAACACAATTTGAAGGAAAGCCACGCTTTACAGCCAACCTGTTGTAATGTGATCAGTTCCAAATAGAAGCTCCTCGGCCACTCTTCCTCCCACACTAACATCCATTTGTGCAAGCAGCTGAGCTCAAGTCTCATTCCATCTGTCATTCTCAGGCAGCAGGGACACCTAGAAAGTTAAAAAACAGAGAAAAACCTCAGACATGGGTTTGAAACGTATATTAATAATCAGAACGATCACTGGTCTCTCATGACCTTACTTAACACCATGACGCTGAAAGCTCAAGGACATTTAGTAGAGACGGTCATCGGTGACTGATGACAAAACCAGCAATTGATAAAATAAGGAAAATTCTCTACAGCAAAAGTGCATTTTATAAACAAGAGGGAGATAATATTGCAATAGGACTGCTTTATCTCTAGTTGCACAGAAATGTTTAAAATATCTATAATTAGAAAGATATGGGAATGAAACTAGTACTTAATGAGAAAAATCTTAGAAAAACTATTGTTCTAGATCTCCAGTTTACTATAAAATATAAAATATAAATATAAATATATATAAATGTAAAATATATAAATATAAATAAAATACAAAATATAAATATAAAAATATAAAATATATAAAAGGATATAACTTGGGCATAGCCAGATGGGAGAGATGCACAGGGCAAGGTGTGAGGAAAGGGCACGGAGCCTCCACGTCCTCTCCAGGCGCACCACTCAACCTACAGCTCCACGTGTTCACCAACCCCTTTGCTCTCTGAACGCCGTCCTTTTGGTTTTTTATGGAGGCTTCCTAACCTAAGCATGGTTGATTAAATCACTGGCCATTTGGCAATTAAGCTCAATCTCCAGCACCTCTCTCCTGGGCCAAACTGAAATTTCCAACCCTCTAATCACACGGTTGGTTCTCTTGGCACCCAGCCCCCATCTTTAGGTGTATTCCAAAAGTTGCTTCATTAACATAAAAAAGATATGTCTATCACTCTCATCATTTATGAAATTCTAAGAGTTTTAGGAGCTCTGTGCTAGAAACGGAGATGAAGACCAAATAAATATTTCTTAATCACAATATCACCATATCCCCCGAGGCCCAAGGGACTTGGAGGGAGTGGTCTCCAGGACCTGGAGAGAGAGCAAACTAGGAGCAAAGGGCCCTGTGGCAGCACCTGGGATCTTGCTTGAGGGAAGGACCCAGGAACTAAGTGCTGACCTCTTGCTTCTCCTCATCTCCTACTGGTCCCCTTTGCCCAAGCACTACCAGAAGTCAGAGAGGAGGGTGACAAGGGAGCCTGAACACATTGTGGTCTGTACAGGTCAGCCGTCTTGGCAGAGGGCAGGAGGAGGTGGAGAGTGGATCTGGAGTAGAGATGGAGAACACACAGCACAAGGACTATAGGACCAAAAAACCCTACAAACACCATGAAATTTCCTAGACGAGACCCTTATCAACCAAAAGAGTATTGCCATATGTTCAGCCCCATATTGCAAAAGCTCCTGGAGGCAAAGGCAAGGAGGCACCCTCAAGCGTGGCGAAACTGCGTCTGTTCAAAGCAGCCAAGGACCATACGGGTTGCATTTCCAAAGCATGTTCTTAGATGCAGCTCTCAAAAAGAAATTCTGTATTACATGAACAAATGATTACCATAGTCAAATAAGTTCAGACGTTTCTGAGCTAAATTGGTTTTTCACTTCAAAGTTTCTGAAGTCCTTTACTACTCCTGTGTACAGCGGTTAATTTCCGAAAGGAAGGGCTCTGGGCAGCATTCTCTGGACCAGTGTGTTCTCTCCACTACACCTGAGTGCTGAGAACGGGCTGCTGCAGCTCGAGCTAGAATTCAACTCCGCCGCTGCCTGGCGCTGTGGGCACCGCAAGCCACGTAATTCCCTTGGATCTCGTTTTCCTTGCGTGCCCGAGTTAAGGAGCTGATCTTAGACGTTTATATTTTTAGGATGCAGTTGTCTATCCCAGAGTCAGAGTTAACCAGTAACTCTGAATTTCTCAGAGCAAAAAGGCTGAATCTTTGTGAGAACCTCAGAGCAACAGCTTCCTCGGAGGGCTCGCTGGTGTCTGTCTTCCCTTCTTGACCTAAATCTTAGTCCTGAACTCGTTTGTCATCAGTTACGCACAGCTCTGGTCCCTGGCACTGACACGTGCCAACCCTACAGCCTGCAGTGAATTACTCAGCCTGGGATTCTGGCCAGTCTGGTTCTACTTCCGTGACTCACTCATCTCCTTCTGTGACACTTCACTATTCTCCAAGGTCATCCCGCTGTGCCTGGGATCACATGTCCTTGTGGTTCTGAGCTCACCAGACCTCACCGGCAGCTCCACTCCTTCTGTCCTCAGCAGTTTTCTTCTGGCTGCTGATTTATTTTTCATACCATTTTGTTTATTCCTTATATCTTCCTCTTTTTTCCTACCAATATTGGAAAGAAGTTTTATTTGTCTCTCTTTCTTCTCAAAGCTGCTACTTCCCTCCTTCCCCGCCTCTCTCCATCCCCCGGGGCTCCCCTGTATTCCTTTGGGCAGAAGTTACCATTGCCTTCCGTGTTGGGACCTTGAAATCCATCCATCCGTTCAGCTGTGACACAGTAGCAAGTTAGCTGTCCACTAGGGTGACCACAGAATTTATCAGTCAAACTCGGATACTTTTGAGTGTGAAAGAGGTTGCTGTTAACAACTATGCCAGAATAGCGAGTGTAAAACAGGACTGTCTCAAACGGAGTTCTGTGATCACCCCATTGTTGACAGATAGATGACCTACCATACTGCCGAAATTCCATATAGTTTTCTTTTATGAGATGTGTTTATGTCCTAATCCTGCAGATTTGGAGCACTATTCCTGACACATGGTTTCTTGAGTCACATGTATTGCATGGCTCTGACTGTCCCCTAGACCAGCCAAATTCCTTCTCTAAATGACAAGTTCCCTAATGGATGGTTAAGCCTGCCGTCACATCCACGGTCAGTCACTGAAGTTGCAGTCCAGACAACAGCAGCATCTGCCTCCTTACCTGTTTTCCCTCCCCTTCCCCACAGTTCTTTGATCCCTCCCTTACCCACTCTGCCCCAACCTTCCGGCTGAATCTGATTGCCTTTCTTTTGGTGCTCCCACTGGCACCTACGGCAGCATTCACCAGGACCGTCCCAAAGTCAAGAGAAAGAACTTCTGGGTCATAACTACCCAGATGTTTACTAGCCTGCTTCTGCTGGGAGTTTTGTGTCCCTCTTCCTTGGCAGCTAGATTCTTTCTGTCAAGTGCCCACACTGATTTCAATAGTGTCTGCATATTGTTTTGATGGTAAGAGATAGAACCCCAACTAAAGCTAGTTTAGCCCCAAAGGGGAATTCATTGACTCAAGGATCTAAGAAAATTTTTGACAAGGTGAGGGACAGGGATGCAGCTGGGCCCGAGAAAAGACTGGAACCAGAGATTTGAGTGCCACCTGGCCTCTGCATCCCTCCTCCTATTTGGGGGCATCAGCTTGAGTCTCCCTCCTTGATGACTAGCATTACCATATGCCAGGAAATGTGGTTTCTGAGCTCCCAAGTTGTGCGTCTTAGTACTGTGCAGCCCAGTGTATATTTACATTGGTTCCCAGGTGGAAACTTGGGGCACAACAACCAGGAGCCCCTGCAGTTACACTTGGCTGGGAGGGCAGAGCTGGTCTAGACAGATCTCCTGTCTGGAATATTGATGAGATCTCTGCTTGGATACGGGAGAGAGATGTCCTAACAGCTTGGTGTCAAGGTTTCTGCAGGAAACAGGTTTATTGGTGATCTATGCACATTGGTGGTTTCTCTTGCATTCTGATCCTTCTGCCAGTTTTTCTTGATGACTGGGTGCAGCAGAACTCCATATTTTGTTTAACTGATGTGCTTGGTGAATGCCTGGCACACCTGAGTGCTTTTGACACTGAGATCACTAACTTCATAGCTTTGAGTCTGCGGTCCGAAAGTCCAGGCGGGAACCGACTTGGATCTGACTCTCCATACCTAAGTGAATCAGCTTGAGCATGAGAGGGAAGAATCGGGGTAGTTTCCAGGAGAATGGATTTGCTGGGCTGGGCGTTCCAGAGGTTCCTCAATGCTGAGTCTCCTGGACCCCCAGGAACTGTCCGCTTGAGTTAGAGAAGTCCATCCAGCAGCTCCCACCTCTAATCCTCCTAACCCCTGGGCGATGTGACTTCTGCCTAGCATGCAGCCCTCCATTGGTAAACCTCATTCTAGCTTCCCTTCACGCTGTTGATTGAGCTTATTTGTGATTATCAGCTGCTAGTGAGCTTATATTATTTTAGGAAGGGCCTTACAAGCTGTCATTGCGTAATTACCCCAGGCTAACACCGAACAAGCCAGAAACTGTCCCCGACACTCAACCTCCACCCAGTTTCTTCTAGCACAACAAACAGCTTCTCACTTCCTCCCCCTCTCATGTTCTCCAGTTCCTCCCTCAGTCAGGCTGTGGCCATCGCTTGTTGGCTTAGTCACATGCATGGCGACTTTCAGTTGAGTTTCACCACGTGGGGAGATGTACTCAGCTGAACTCACAAGTTTCCTTCACCTTTGACACCTTTCTTTCTGGCAACTTGAACTCTTTTTTCGGATAAAAGCTCAGGCTTCCTTTTGTCAAGCTGTGTGTATCCTTCTTTGAATTTCTCTTGGGGTCTCTTTCAAGGGCTTTGTTGACCATGGGCCCTTTGATCCACACCCACACACCACCACTTGATTTCTTCAGAATCCCCTTTCTCCTTCTGCCTCTTGTGCTTTATGGATCTAAACCAAGTGAGGCCGTCTTGTCCCCCTCCTGGCTGTCCTTCGCTGCTCCTTGGGGTTATCCCCACGACTTCTTCAGCATTCCTTCACATTTCTTCAGCATCCACTCATCCATCTTCTCTCCTTCCACTCCCATTCCTGCCTAAAACCTCTCTTGCAGGCTTTGCCCTCTATCACCAATGGAGTGGTCCCTGCCTGTCCTCTGGGCAGGTGCCACCGGTCCTGTGTTTCATTTCCCCTCTCACTCTGCACCACCTCTGCTGTGGCCTGCACATGGGTTGTTTATATAAATGTAACTTCCCTCCACCCAAAGGTTACCCCAGCATTTTTTTAACTCAAATCGCGGTTGTAGGCACTATGCTTGAAATACTATTCTCAACTCCACGGTTGAATTCAGAGAGTTTCCTCTTTTTTGTTGCATTTTTAAAACAACAAAGAGGTTCTTTGTCATGGTGAAAATAATACACGGACGCAATAGAAAATTGACAATTAAAATATTAACTTTTTGTTGTATACAGTATGTCCTTTCTGTTGTTTAAAAGGTACTGTTTTAAAAAAATATTTGTAATCGTGTCACACATACAGTTGTGGATCTTTGCATTAGCATTCATTATTAAAACTCGTTCGTCAAATATTCATTGAGCATTTTTGTGTGTGAAGGATTATCTCAGGCCCTGGGGATACAATGCCCCCCACCCTCCCTGAGCTCAAGGTCTAGAGTCGGAAACAGTGGGCAGTTAGGACTCTGTGAGGAGAGCACCGTGTTCTACGCCCCAGTCTGGTCTCGAAGGGCGTGGACAGGGAAGGCTTTTCTGAGTGTAGCGAGGTCCAAGCCAAGATCTGAAGAATTAGCAGGAGTTACCTGGGCGTTAGAGAAGGACTGGCGTAGGCAAAGGGAACAGCAGGTGTGCAGCGTGGAGGGGAAGGGACAGGAGAGGTTTTGAGGTTGATTCTAGGGGTAACAGACCATGTAATCTAGGTAATTGAGTTTGTGCTTTATCCTGAGAGCAGTGGAGACTTCCTTCTGAGCGTAACCAGATTTGCTGATCGCACATCTCTATCTGCAGTAAAGGAGCACAGATCAACTCCTTTGTATATGTATTAACTCTTCATAATATATATATATTTTTATTGATAACAGAAGATCCATAAGTAAATGTACCATAATTTACTTAGTCGTTTCCCTGCCGTTACTGATATTTTCTGCTGCAGTGAATACATTTCTCTTCAGCTCTCCTCTATACAAACTAAACCCCTTTTTGAACTCTAATTGAAGAGCCTCTTCTATGTAATTAACCCTATCTTTTATTGGTTGCAATTCTAGTTTATATTTCATGGCTCCCATCCAAGCCCCAAACTGGTCTACAAATTTAGCAGGGCCTATTAGGAATAGCAGCTAAATAGGAGCTCACACCTGGGCAAGACCATCAATGTTTACCTACCCACAGCCACTACCAAACTTCCCCGGGGCACTCAGTACCACAGGAGAGGTCCTCAGTGCGTGTCACATCACAAGGAAAGCCCCACGGACTGGATGGCCTGTGTTTCTGAAAGGAGTCGGGGGTCCTAGTGGAGAAGAAATAGCAATAAATGGACAGTGTACACACTGACCTAAAACATACTGAACACTCACACCCACAATTTTCACTCACTTCCTCTTTCTTTTGGACCTTTTTTTAGTTATCCCAGGTTGGTTCTTAATTACCATCAGTGAGCTTAGAAGAGGAAGGAAGCAAATACCACCCTTCTTGAGTAGTTGGACTATTTTAGGTCAGACGTGATGGATCCACAATTGAAGCTTTGAACTAGAAGCTCTGTTAAGCTTCACGCCGAAGTCGTAAATTACTTCACCCCATTTCTCTGGTTTGGGCGTGAGAGCCCAAACGTGTGCTGGCGATAACTATTTAGGTAAGGTGGCATCCTTCCTTTTTCTTGTTATTTTCTACTCATTGAAACTCCTCTTGCTATTTTGTCACCTTTCTTGACCACTTAGCTTCCTCTCAAATTAAATTTTATTTGTTAAGGAAATACCCTGTTTTCATGGTGTGTAGTTTCTTGCTAACTAGGCTGTGTACAACCATGACATTAAAGGCCACACCAAAGTTTATAAATCTTCCGGAAAACATACACTCATAAACTATTTCGTCCCTGGGACCTTTTTAGTGTATTTTTAAATCCCTTCTAAGTCTTATTAAAATTCCACATGCCTCTTTGTGCAGAAGGGGAGTTGCCAGATAGAAAAGTCCTTCATTCACTTGTTCATTCACTCATCTGTTCCAGAAACGTCCATGAAAGCGCCCGCTATGCACGAGCTTTGTGGTGACCCCTCTGATCCACCAGGATCGGGCTGAAGCGAAGCAGGAGCCAGGTCCTAGCCCTTGTCTCAAACTTTGATCAAGAGTTCAGATGTTATTCAATGTTCTGAATACTCAACAAAGACAGACCCCTTTGTACAAGTTGCAAAGACGACCCTATCACAGTAGCACACCTACCATAACCCCCAGAGCAGATCATTTTCTAACACCCCCTTCCTCTATGTGACCAAATTATTTTCAGTCATGATTGTGAAACAAGATAAATAATAGCTGTGACTAGAAAAGAAGTACAGACGATGAAATGCTCTGTCATTGAACTTCAACTGTATAATAATGCCAGTAAAAACTTAAAATTAAAGTAAATATTACAATTCAAAAAAGAAAATGTAAAGATAATTGCATCAACTTTACAAATGTTAATTGCAGTAATGTATTTTAGAAAGAGAAAAAACTATCTTTTTTTCCATTGCAGTAAAGAATAATAAATTACCGTTTCTGTTCTGCAGCCGTAACTCCTGCAAATCTGTCAATGGCAGATTAATTTCTGATCGATTGTCTTTGCATGTTCATATTCAATCCATTCTTTCTTCACTCATAGTTGATTGAAGAACAATGCTTATTTTAATTTCAAAAAATTCCTTTCACATGAGTTAGGAAAAGAATAAAGTTTAGCTGTGATCCAAGTAAATCTCATTTCCCAATAAATTCCAGAAATTGCCAGACTGTCAATGTTTTTGTTTCTTGGAGACTGATTCCACTGGCTTTCAAAAGACTTCACGTTCAAAAAATGTCCATTATCTTCCAAATATCTTCTCTAGAAAATTCACCATAGATTTCTTCTCTATTTATTAAAAACGTCCATAGTTTTTCTTCTTCTACAAAAATCATAGAGTAAACATTGACATTATTTGATCCATTCCTTTAGAATGTGATTTAGAAAATTCATTCATTTAGAAAATGATTGGAGCATTGAAACATGACCCTTTGAGTTTTCTTCTGGCATTGTAAGGCAGGCATCTTTTCTCATATCTATGCTTTCTTCTTCAAAATTTAGTTCTATTCTCTACGTCAAACTCACTTGTTTATTTATATTTTGTTGTTGCAGAGGTAGAGGCCTTCTTCTTAAAATCTAAGACGATCCTCACAGCTTGCAAGTTGGGGTTGGTTTTTCAGAATCAGTCTTTGCGGTGTGCACAGCTTCATCTGAGCGCTCCATCTTCCCAGGGAAAGGCTTTTGGCTTGTTTCCTACAGTCTGCAGCATTTTTCACTGATGAGGTGAGATTACTAAGAATGAATAAAATGTTTTCATAATTCCAAAAACATCACCCATGAAGAAACACGCCCAAAAGAGTAAACTCTGCAAAGGTGCAGAGAGTGACTTGCAGAAGAAACGTGTAAAGACTTGATCAGTTTCTGAGATCTTTGCTGGACGCCCCCATGGACACTGATCGGAACTACAGTGTTGTCATTTCCTTGACCATGGCAGAGGTTTATGCTCAGTCCATCTGTATCCAACTGTTTCACAATTTCTTTGATGCCTTCAGTAGCAGTCTTCCCAGAAATAGAAAAGATGCCTAAAACTGATTACTTTAACTTGACCATCTTCAATATGGACACATCTGATCACTTCAAATGTTCAATAACCATGAAAAATATCAAGAGTGCTATAAAAAGAATGTCAATGTATTTAGCTTTTTTTAATGTCTACCACTATTTTTAGTTTGATGTAATTTCCCAGAAGATGAATGAATTGATTTTGAATTTTGGGGAAATATGCATGAAATAAAACTCTCTTCTAAAAGAATAGTATGTTTCATTTTTACAAAATGTTCTTTCAAAATCAGATAGCAATTTTAAGTCTATTTCCACCAATGCCAACAAATTTCTTTTGATTCCTGATCATATATCTGCTCTTTAAGTATAGAAAGGATTCGTTTGGCTAAAAATGTAATTAAGCCCAAATGATGATATAAAATTTCTCACTGTTTTTTCTTTCTTAATCTATTTTCGTTTGATGGATTTTAGGAGTTTCCATTCCACTGCCAGGATTTTCCATTTATCTAAAGCAAGAGAGATATGATTCAGCTATCTCATATTCAAGGACTTGAAGATTAAATTTCTACCAGATTTTAAGGCCAGTTATAAAGTTGGACATTCCCTTTTTTTTTTTTTTTGCAGGGGAAGATTCTCCCTCAGCTAACATCGGTTGCCAATCTTCCACCTTTTTTTGCCTTCCCCCACCCCATAGCCTCAGTACATAGTTGTGTATAGTTGCAAATTCTTCTAATTCTTCTATGTGAGCTGCCACCACAGCATAGCTGCTGACAGACGAGTAGTGTGGTTCCATGCTGGAGAACTGAACGCGGGCCGCCGAAGCAGAGCATGCTGAACTTTAACCCCAAGGTTAGGCCATCAGGGCTGACTTGGGACGTTCCATTTTTTAAAATCTTATCTGCAAGCAGTCTCCAACAAAAACAAAACAAATTAAAAAACATTCTAATAAACTCTCTATACTTCTCTGTACTTCTGTCCAAATGTTTACTTGGTAAACATTTATGAAACCATGAAGTTGTCAAATGTCAACTGATTATTTCATCTTTTCTCCTGTCTGTTGAACAGTAGAGAAAGGACCATCTTTATTGTGAGAGGCTCATTTTCCCTCTTAACCAGGTTATTGCTCAAGTCATATGAAACGGGTATTGGCCAAAAAAAAAAAATTCTATTTTCTTGATTCGTTTTTAGTTTGAAAACTAACAATTAGTAATTAAAATAGAAACCTCAATTTTAATTTTGAAGATATTACTCAAGTTTAAAACATTTCATGTATGGGCCAAAGTTTACACTCACCAAACAAAAATATTTTATCTCACAGTTGACACTCTATTTTACTGTTTCAAATTTTAAACACAAATAGGAACTCCACGTGGTCACATAGAATAACAGAATGGAAGTGACTCAAATTCTGTTTCTTCTTCTCTAAAACCCCTGGGCTATCAATCACTGTTCGTTTTGAATCTCCTGTTTAAACATAGGGATGTGTAAGACCAGAAGGGCTGGAGACACCAACCACGCCTGACTGAACTTTAACAATTAGGTACCATTAAAAAACTTACTCTTGAAACAAATTCATGTGGCTGAGTTCCCTGTGGGGGTAACTTTGTAGTTAGTTCCCCAAATCAGCCACCATACAATGTTTATTAAAGGACCAGGGATGACTCCACGCTTACCAGGTCCTTAGAGCAGTCAAATTGACGCAGTCAGAAAGTAGAATGGTGGTCACCAGGGGCGGCTGGGATGGGGGATGGGAAGTTAAAGGTTAAAGGGTATAGAGTTTCAGTTTTGCAAGATGAAAATAGTTCTGTGGACGGACGGTGGTGATGGTTGCACAACAATGCAAATGCACTTAATGCCACTGAACTGCACACTTAAAAAGGGTAAATTTTATATTTTATGTGGTATATTTTACCACGATTTAAAAAACTAATAATTTCTTTCAAAAAACAACAAAAGGATAAGTAATTAACAGTGGCAACTTTAAGCTTCTCTGTATTATTAAAAGTCAACAGTAGCCACAGCAATTGTTTAGAAATTAGACTAACAAAAGATTTTTTTTTAGGAAGAAGCGTTTTGGCACCAAGTAGGGCATAGTCACCTCAAAAGCACATCAGCTTTGGGTGCATTTCATTATGGTTTGTGAGTTCTCTGTAGACACTGCACCCCCTCACTCCTACACTCTGGAAGACAGCTCCCACTGCCCCACCCTTGGTATGTCACCACTCTATCTTCCCATAGATAATAACCTTGGTCACACATGTCAAGATTAGAAAAGATGATTAAGTAGTGGGTTTTCCCAATCTCAACATGTCCTAACCGAAGCCCATGATCGCCCCATCCCGACCCCGCCCTAGATGACCTCTCTTCTCACCTCGCTCTCTCTGTCCCACTCACTGCCATTTCTTCAATCGTCCAGACTCAGAAACTTATGTTTCCCATTGGCTCGTTCCTCTCTTTCATCCCCGCATCCAGCAATATGCAACTCCTACCAGTTTTCCCAATGAAGCACAGCTTATGACTATCCTCTACCATATTCAAATCCAGGCTTGCATCACTCCTTTGCTGTATTTATTTAACAGTTTCTCAGCTAGACTCCCTGAATCCCACTTCTCTTTTTTCTAAAGTGCATGTATTGTTCTGCCTAGGCTGATCTTGCTTAGTGCTGCTTTCATCTCTAGACCTTCAATAGAAACTTCTTTCCTGCCACACCAAGGGGACACTGACCTGTCTGCTTTCAAGGCCTTTCAAAGTCAAACCCCACCTCACCCGTTTGCCGGTATTTCTCACAGTTCTTCTACTTCTGTTGGTCAGGACAACACCCTCAGTGCTCCACAAACCTGCCTTGTCTTCTTGCTCTTGGGCATTTGTCTACCTTCTATCCTGGCCTGCGGCAGCTTCCCTCTCCCCGGCCACATTCTACTCACCCTGCAAAGTCTCTCCTGGTGCTATAACCTTGAACAAGCTATACCGTCTCTCATCTAATTAAAAAAAAAAATAGCAGGAGTGAGAAAGACCTAGAGCAGGTGCTCTCTTGGACCCCATGTCAGAGATCTTCCAAATGCCCCTCCGGATCCAAACTCCTTATTTCTCCACCCAGTTCTTAGCCCCTGGGCACTGACCCGCATGAGCTACATGGGTAGACTGTTACTCTCTGGCTTCTGATTGGAGCTCTTACCCTCTTCTTTGTAAGATGGCCCTAGAGTTGGCCATTGGCTGTGCCCCTTGACCAAAGGTCATTGTTCGTTTGAAGGTAACCTCTTCTACATGATTGCACTTCTGAGTTCAGTAACTGCTCTTGTCCCTAAATTCCTCCAGCCTGGAGCTGGTAACAGTTGGGCTGCTACTAGCCCAGAGCTGTCGAATTAGCCCCCATGGTTCCCCTATAATGCTGTCTCTGGAAGAGTGCCACTGTGAGTGAATTTTTGTCAGATGACTATTTCTCTTGAATAGGATACCCTAGACTACCCTATCTCTTGGAATGCCCCATCTCTTTTCTTTTGGAACTCTGAATCAGATATCATTACACACCTCCTCAGATTCACTTGACCCCACTTGTCTCCTGCACCCTTGGATGCTTACTCATGGAGATCCCCCTCACTGCTGCCTATTGCCACGGCTGCCACCATCACATCTGCCAGCCCTGATCATCTCCAAGCCTCCACGAAGAGGAGTGCAAGCTCCAACATGGCCTGCATCGCTCCTGCTCTCGTGAGAGCCACAGCAGCTCTGATGCCCAGGCCTGACAGGACCTAGGTGGCTCTGGTCCCTCCACTCACTTAGGCATTTGGACGAAGTGCTAAACTGCAGCACTTGGAAATGGGCTTCCCTGGCAACCGCCCAGAGGTGTCTGGAGGCACAACCCAGAAGTTCAGGGAAGCTATCACTCATAGGAAAACCTTGACCAATAAGACAGGGGGTAGGAGGGAGAGAGAGAATGAATCCCTTTCCCTCCGTCCCTTCACTGGGCTGTTCTGGGACCTTGTGTTCTGTATGGGCTCTCCAAAGATATGCCATGTGTCTAAGCAACCAGCTGTGTCTTTTCCTGAAGTTGTGGCCTGTCCAGTAACACATGGCCTTTTATTTGCTTCCCATCCTTTTCTGTTTCACGTCCCTCTTCCCTCGCTCTCGCTGTCCTGGAATTGTACCTCCCATTAGCACTTAAGCTCTGCCTCGTGTTCCATTTTCTGGGAAGCCTACTCTTTCTAAGAAGGACTAACTGGTGCAGACCCCTTTCCAGTGTTATGAGTTATCACAGCTCTTCTTCCTTTGCCTTTGTCTTCGGTATGAACTCATACAGCACTCCATGCCACACAATTATGTCCTTAATTATGCTGAGTGACCTGGTTCCTATTTTTATGGGTCCTGATATTGTTGTACAACCAGATTGTAAACTCTTTTATGAGCTAAGACCACATTCTATACCTTTCTGTTTGTATTGAAGAAGAGGATACGGCCCAGGGACAGACATTATAATTCAAGTCACTTCATTTCTAGAGGTGGGAATAATATAGGAGCCATAGGATTTGGACTCTCCTCACAACAAGTTTTGGTAGGAAGCTTCTTTCTCCTCTTCCCTCCAGTGACATGGGGAAGAGGCAGAGTTTAGTGGTACAGGAATGAGCTTTGGAGTCAGATGGACCTGGGTTCAAGTCTCGGGTCTGCCATGAACCGACCGTGTATCTTCACATTACTTACCCAAACTGCCAGAGTCTCGGTTCTCTAGTTTACTAATGCTGTATACGTCAAAGTGGCTACCACAAATATCAGTCGCAACATCAGTGCTCAGCAAATAGTCTCCATTTCCTCTGAGCTTGCTCCCTTGCTTGACAAGATGAAACCTCCTATAACAATGGCTCACCAACTCTTTGGCCACTTCTAAGGGAACAGACTTTGCAAATCCCAAACACAGCCCCGCTGCCCAGGCCTGGGGTCTGGCTCACAGAAGACAGGTCTGACCCATTGTGGCCTCTGCTATCTGAGCCTCAATGATCAGAGCACATGGCGACCAAGGCGCATGAGGGAAACTAGCCCTCCCCAACACACCTGCCAACTCTTAGGTTAAGATTAGTTTGGAAGAGCTTTACTTTTAGGACATTTGGCATCGCTGTGCTGAATTCGCAATTTGCTGTGATTCTATCCATCCTAAACAGAAATAATAATGCCCAAACTACAGTACAGCTTACGTGAAAAAGAGTTTGATTCCCATAGTTAGCTAATTGGAACATGACTATATCTACCCACAAATGTACCCCACATTCTTGAACACACGGCTGGTCCTAGCAACATTCTTTGTCATTGTTAACTTTAGTGAGCAGCTCATGACTTTATTTTCTTGTACCAAATGCCATCAATTCTTCTGCTTTAACATCACCTCGATTTTACCTCCATGTGTAGAATCTCTTCTCCCTCCATCCTTTACCCTTGAGCCTATTCTCACCCACATACGTTACATCTCATGAGATCAACTGGAGACAGGATCAATAGAAGAGAAATTGATCAGTCTAGCCAAATAGTTCCTATCAATTCCCCCCCCCCCCCCCCCAAACCTAGCATGAGTGTTAACTGCTATCTTGCTTTGCTTCTGGGATTTCCCAGGCCCTCGATAGCCAAGAAGGAAACAGTAAGTGGCAAACAGTAGTGTGGTCTGGAGGCAAGATCTTCATGTTACAAGAAGTCAAGGGCTTTGGTTCCCATCCCTGCTCTGTGAACAATTAAACGTGGACCTTAGCCAGATCTGTAAACCTGTTGCCATCCAATTTCCTTTCCTATAAAATGAATCTGAAAGATTCCAGTGGCTAGAAGCAGACCAGGAAGCCATTTGGTGCCACCCCTCAATTTCCAGTGGAGGAAAGGAAAGTAGGAGTAGAGCCAGACTAGCGCCCCCACTGCATGGCAGGAACGTCTGGGAAAAGGCTTTGTCTAAGACAGATTCAAGACGCGTGTTAAATAACATCACTCTTATGAATCACTTCTGTAATCACTGGGAAATATTCTGTAAAAGAAAAAGATGCAAAACTATGTATAAATTATGCCACCATGTGGGCGTGTTTTGTTGTTGTTTTACGTAATCACATATGTTTGTATATGCATAGGATATCTTTGCTAGCAGCAATTGTTTCTGGAGAGCAGAGCTGGGGAACTGGGAAGGGCAGGGGTGTCAGGAGGGAGAGGGCGAGGCTGAAGAGATAAATGAGGAAGGCGCTTGCCAAATCCTTCCTTTGGCTCTTACCTGCTGGCCAGACGAAAAAAGGAACTTTGGGTTTCAGTGAGAAAATCTGAACCAATTACCTGTTAGTTCTCTTTCTCTCCTGTGTAACTTAATTAAGATAGAAACAATTGGGGCTTTCTAGCTTGCTGGCCCTGGCAACGACTAACAAATAAGTCCACACAAGGAGGTTGTGAGAGGTACACGGAGTCTCCTGGGCCCTGAGGCGCCACCCAGCCCTCTGTCCTATTGAGAGCAAAACTTTGGCAAGACTCTAATTTCCAATCAGCAGAAACACCTGGCGGAAAGGGGGAGTTGTGTCTGTATGAAGTTATGCCATTTCTCTTTCACACAAGCACAAAAGTTGGCCAAAGACCTCATTGGCGCCAAGCATTGTCGTCCTGTAACCTCTCTATTAGCATCACTGCCTCTGGGCTCACAGTCCCCATGGGCCGCACAGGCACTTTTGTGAGAAGCAATGTTGAGCCAGAAGTCACCTCTACTCCTAGCTCCAAGCCTTCAGCAGTGCCCAGGAATCCTCTTTTTCCTGAAAATATTCTTCTTCCTTTTCATCTCCTTGATGCCTTGGAAGAATGTTGAGTCTACCGGAATTTATAAAAGGACCCCTATGGGGACATGTTCCAATGAAATGCAAGACAATTCCCGCTCGCTGAAACTCTACATTCATGTGGGGAGATAGAGCTGAAGCATATTAAGCTTCGTAGAGAGAAAATTTAGTATGAATTAAGGACAATGATAGTAGCCCACATTACAGAGCAATTCCATATCTCCTCTAATCTTCAGTGTTATTTGTATGATGAGCAACTACCAGGCTGACTCAGGGTGCCTCGGCGCAGGCGTAGAGCCATGATGAGAGAATGCTGTGCCCTAACATGTTTTCCCGGTTGCTTCCCTTGCATGATCACCAGAATTAACAGGATCTCATGAAATCTCCCATTGTGCTCTAGGCAGCCAGATAGCCAGCTTTTGTCACTTCTATCTCTGTAATTTCTGAGGAAACAGATGTCTCTGAATTGGTTAAGTACTCAGAACTTATCCCAGCACTGAAAATAAATGAGGCGTATGCCCTGTTCTCATGGGCGGTAGCTCTGAGTGGTCGTCTCTCACTTTGATTTTGAAGTGAGACAAAACAGGTTTCCCACATCTAGGTGAAACATAGGTAACCTGGGAAAAAGTGCAGTCCTGCCAGAGGGATGAGCCAAGCTCCAGCTGGCGTGGGGTCAGCTGCTTCTCCCGGGTTGGGCCGGGCCGAAGGCTTTGAGGCGTTAGAGTAGGGAGCATGACTGCATGGGGCCCTGTCCTCTGTCTTTAGCTGCTCACCTGCGCACCCTCCCCAGAGAGAGCGGAGCCAAGATCCTGGTGAGAGTGCGTGCAGGTTTGTACCAAAGTGCTTTGTATATGGCTGCTTCGCATCTTTCCTCTCTCCGGCCCAAAGTGGACTTTTGAAACCTGATGTGGATGCCCAATCCATGCTATTGTAATCATAATTTTCTTGCACATTTGAGATGAAATCGACATCTGAAAATCTAGCTCACAGGCAAAAGGTAAAACTGCAAGTAAATGCTTGGCCAAAGTCAGCCATGACATACATCAAAAGGAAGAAACGTCTAACAATGCGAGCGTGGTGTGTGCTTCCTTTCTGCAGGGACTGAATGAGTCAGAGGGGCTAGGACCCTCTCTTACTTGTGTCCCCTGCAGAGGCCAACACAATTCTGTGCCCAGAGTAGGTCCCCATAAGACTTCAACTCTCCACCAAATAGGCCTGCTCTCCCACTGGGCACGTTCCCTCCTGGCTGCCCTCAGGGGTTGGCCCTGGACCTGTGGCATCAAGCAACCAATCACACTGCAGACCATGAAAAAAATCCCCCAGGCCCTCCAGAAGACACTGGCTTTCCTGTTGAGTTATACCACAAAAATCTGCCATCAATAAAAGATTGATTAGGGGCTGGCCTGGTGGTGCAATGGTTAAGTGCACACGTTCCAATTCGGCTGCCCGGGGTTCACCGGTTCAGATCCCGGGTGCAGACATGGCGCCGCTTGGCAAGCCATGCTGTGGCAGGCATCCCACATATAAAGCAGAGGAAGATGGGCACGGATGTTAGCTCAGGGCCAGTCTTCCTCAGCAAAAAGAGGAGGATTGGCGGCAGATGTTAGCTTAGGGATAATCTTCCTCAAAAAAAAAAGATTGATTAGCTTTGGTCTGTCAGACAATGGACATGTACCCGAAAGGAATACAAGGAGCTGACAGAAATCAGTCCCACTGAATTCAGGTGCTACTGTGGTGCTTTGTGACATGGCAGACATCCAGTGGATGGGCAAATCCTCAGTAGGGCTAGCAAATCCCTGGTAGGCAGACTTCGTCACCTGTTTCAGGTTATTTTAGACCTGAAGGCAAACACAAGGAGGGTAGTGATAATCAGAAGAGGCGGCTCCAGTGTTGGCCATGTGACCACCAGCAAGTATGTCTATGTCCCAGTGTAGCTAACAGGGGGGTTAGACAAGATGATCTGTGAGGCCCGAGTGGAAAGGTCCCACCTGTCTTCCATCATGCATTCCAATGCCCCACACAATCAGAAGCCCTGCTCCTGAAGCGGGAATTATCAGGTGGGCAGAGGGAGGTTTCAGGATTTGATTGTTATGTCCTAGCTACACACAATCCTGACAGCCCCACTGCTCATCTTCTCAGAAGGAGGTGGGAGATGGGTTCCCTCGGAACCCATCACGGCCTCCTTGCTTCTCTTAAGCAGATTCTCTGTCTGGTGGTCCATCCTTGGCTGCAACTCTTGGCTTCCCAGGTCAACAGCTCTGCACGTCTCCAGTGTACAGCTCTCAGCCCTGAACGTCCCCTCGTGGCGCTCATGACCACTTTCTCAGCCACCACCACTGCTCATCACCTCTCAGGAAACAAACATCCCCAATTCTTTCCACAAGAGCTCCAATTTATTTAAAAGGAATGGTTTTCTCTAAGTGGAATTTCTTAACTAGAACTCCATTCTTGTTAACTAGAACATTTTTCATGAAAATCTTCCAAAGTTATGTACCTTGACCCAGGGGCAGGTCCAGGTTTGTCGGGCCTGATCTGCGGTAATACAAAACTAGGCAAAGGGCCGTGGAGGGGTCCATCAAGTCAGGGGCCCTGTGCTGAGGCTGCATTAGCTTTGTGGTAAATCCACCTCTGCCCTTAGAGAACTGAATCCCAGAGGGAGCACCGTGCTTTCTCTGCAGCAAGACGATCCATCACTTATGAGCAGCACAAGATGAGAAACAACATAAGCGCTGGAGTCAGAAAGCCGTGGGTTCAAATTCCAGCTCTGTCTCTTTACTTGCTCTGTGATCTTGAGCATAAAGTTACCTAACCTCACATTGCTTCAGTTTCCTCCTCTGAAAAAAACCAGAGGTAGCAATGCATCTTTCATGTGTGTGCTATGAGAATTACAGGGCTGGTGTGTTTTACATAACACATGTAAAAGCCTGTAATACTATTCACTCAGTGAATGACGGATCAGATTCCCATTCAACAGTTTTCACTAGAATTTGGTGTATGTGACTGAAATCTACCTTATACAAAGGCAAGTTAGTTATTAACGTCATAAAAAATAATAGGCACAGAGCACACAAGCATATATTCAAAGGTAGTATAAATGTATAAAAACAAGATGCAAAATAGGCCCACACTTAGCCTGACCCACTGGCTAACAATTATTTTTCTACCTCAATGTACCAGAGGAATGCAACACAATCCAGATGACAATAATGGCTTGATACAGCAGCAACAGAAGAGGAGCATACACACAATTTGCAAAACTCTTGCCTTCTTGTAATTCGCGTTCCCCTCCAAGCTATATCTCAACCCCTGTAACCCATCCCCGGTCCCGGTGAGAATCACACTCTCCACAATAATTAAGGAAAAATACTGAATTTATTCACTTGGTTGGACCCATCACATTGGATAAAAGAGTTGGTTTCATTTGCATGATGTAAAAACATACTCTAAGTAGGAATACTCACATACTTTACAATGTTAAAAATATATTTATATAAGAAAGATTCATGAAGGCATTTGATATAAAACATACACAGTATGCTATTTTAATATACAAATGCTTAAAAGAAAATAGAGTCTTAAGAATTATAAAAGTAGCATCTTTAAAAATTTACAAACGTTTCTATTTGTCTTAAAGGTCACATTCTCATCCTTTGGGATGTACAGAAATTATGTGGTTTACACAGTTTTATCCACATTCAAAACATCATGTTTTAAATGTTTTAAGCATAGCATGTACAGTACAAAATATTTCCATAGGAACATAACAGAACCTGTCACTAGGGGCCTGCTGCCAGACGGCTCCCAGTTAATCAGCCATTTTTAAGACGCTAGTTCAGGTTATTGCTACAATATTCAAGTTGTTCTATTCACCCAAAGTATAATGACTTTCATTTCTACTAGACTTTCCCGACAAAGGCTCAAAGAGTTATCATATAATATACACCAATATACATAAAACAACTATTCTGAGTTAAATGCAATTCCCATACTTAAATTAGAACCAAGAATAGTAATTTGAGGCTATTATCCTCGCAATTGGTATTTTTAAAATTTTGAGCAAAGTGCACAGTGAATGGAATCAGTCACCAGAAACGATTCTTCTCTGAACGCTCAGCTTCCTTCCTGTGAGATGAGAAATGAGAACCTTCAGAGTTGGCGGGTAGCAGGGCAGCTTGACAAATCAAACCCACAGGGGCCACATGGAGTCACATTCATGAGTCGTGGAAGCCCATACCGCTGGCTCATAAATGACACAATTCACTATTTGGAGGCCCTGTGCAGAGTCAGGAGAACCAGCTTCCAAGAGATAAATGCTGAGTCTTAATTTAGAGCAAACGGTGTCATTAATCAGCCATATTCTAACGTTGGTGGGCCCCGAACAAGGTTGAAATAGCCAGCCAGGGCTCCAAGGTCTATGTAGAGAGAACGTTGTCTCTTCAGCATCTCGGATTCTTCGGTGCTTGCTGTGCATGAAGAATCTGAAAAGGGAAACGTCGAAAAAAGGAAATAAGTGACCAGGGGACACGTTCAATAAATACCTTCTGCGAAAAAAACACTTTGGGCCTAATGAAACAGCATTCAGCTCTGGTTTTAGTAAGAGCTACAGACTTGAACGCTATGAGCTAGTTTATGTAACACAACAGGGACAAAAAAATCAATGACAACAAGAAACTAGCTAGAACTCCTGGCATATTTTCCAACATCCCAGATGGTTCTCTTTAAATACAGAAAAGTCAGACAAGAAGCAGGGAAATGAAAACAAGCATTCCAGGCTTGACATCTGGGTTTGGACCAAAATGGTTAAGAATGCCATAGATTTTTAATGATAAAAATAGAAACCCCTCTCCAAGCATATTCTATGCTCCTGGAATGCATACTGACTTTCTTACCCGGGAAGGCGTCAAAGTTTGGAAAGAGAATTTAAGCAGAGGAAGATAGAAATGCAAACTGACTTCAAACTCAGTATTTTATCTGTGCAATGACTGCTGTGGCTTATCATAATTGAATTAAACAGAACCCCGCTCTTTACCAACAACAGAAGTGTCCTGCTTGACTTGTTTTTAAAGGCAAATGATTCTCTGTTGCAAAAAAGCAAGTTGGAGGCGATTCTCAATGACTATGTTACCTACATATGCGCTGAAAACCTGTTATGACTGGCTCGTAAATTAGTCAATTTTTTTTTTATGCTTTTGCTGACATTCTTGCTGAAATTTCTCAAACAACTTACGGCATTCAAGAAGTCACTTCATTTTTTTGCAAGTGTTTTCATGAGCTACATGAGAGGTTTGACGTAGATGGAAAAGAAGGGAAGTAAGAGGCACTGCCCACGTAGGGCGTCCCTACCGGCAATGTTCTCAGGAAGCTCCAGCTCCTTCCTGCTCAGCAGCCTCTTCCTCTCAAAGAGGGCCGAGTCCAGGCTCTGACAGCGTGGCTGGTCCTCTCTGGGGGGGTTCAGGGCATCATGCTTCAGCAGGTCCGCTGCCCTGGGGCGGTGATTGGGGTTCCTCTCCAAGGCGGCCTCCATCAGCTCTCGCATGCTGGGACTGCAGTCAGCTGCGATATCTTCTAACGGAGGCGCCTGCTTGTGGATCTATCAACAAACAATCTCTCAGCATCACTGACATGGAAATACACCCTCAACAGGAAAAAGATTCTGATAACAAGACCTGGAAAGTCATCTGTTTCCTACCACATGCCCTGCAGCAAATGACAAGTGTCCCTTTAGTCTGCTAAGGGCACCGATGCTGGGTTTGAATAAGCAGTGACAGCATTATATATGAACAGTGGCCCAAAGGTCATGGCAGAAGTCTATGCTGCTGAATTTCTCAATGGTAAAATGAGAGTTGCACGTTCCACTATCTGCCAGGCTGCCATGGGGACCTATAATCTACTATCATTTTTTTTCTTTTTTGAAAGTGTTCAAAGAACATATACAACTTCCTTCGCTCAAAGATTTATGCTACCCTGATGTTACTAAGTGGCCATTTTTTATTACAGCTATAATGGAATAGCATATAATTTATACCCAATGTACATTTCAGTAAATTTCCACTAAAACAGCAATGCCTCCTTTGCAAGAATGGGGCTTTCCTCCCTTTGGAAGAACCTTCAGCTTCCTCTCATGGGTCACTGGTTCACCACCATCCAGCTCGGGATGTGTGAGCATTAGAGGTGGTAGAGCAGCTCTCCCCCCTTGCCTGTGGGGGACCCCCACTTACTATGTACAGATAGGAAGGATAGGCTGAGCGAGGGTAGCGCTTCACCCAGGGTGGGGTGCCCGTCTGCATGTGGATGAGCGTGGCCCCCAGGCTGTAGATGTCTGCTTTGGTTGAATGGCCCCTGCACAGGATCACCTCTGGGCTCATGTAAATCTGAAAAAGAGGTTGGAAACATCTGTCTGGCTCCCCTCATTTGTCTGGGTTTCCAGTCCTGGAAGCTGGCTCATCCACCTTTCCCCTGTTTACTGCATGCCTCATCCCTTCAGAAGAGCATGTGATCGCTGTGTTCCCTTAAGGGAAGGAGAATAACACAGACACACACTCAGGGAGCCGGGCATCTCTGGCAGGAAGTGCCCCTGCAGCCAGGAACCCACCCAGGACTCTCACTCATCAAAGTTCTGCAAAGCATCGATCGAGGCTTCATTTTTTTATTAAAACACCAATTCCTTTCATATTTAAATGCACACTTCAAATGTACTTCTTCACTTCACGTTTACAAATTGCCAAACCTCTAAAAATCTGCAGTAATAAAAGGCGGCAGAAATCCACAGGGTATTAACACAACTCACTTGGAAGAGAAGAACTTAAAACTGTAATGTTGTAAAAGTGAAACCAATTAGCCATTTCTATGAACTACTTCTTATTTCTACCTACCACGCAGCCAGTGACCAAATATTAAAGGCATGCCATATTAACATGTATAAGTTCCATCTAGTTTCATGAGTTAATGCTGGAAAAGCAGGGCTGGTTTTAGAAATAGTTTCTCTAACAAGTGTTTGTTTCTAAACTCCAAAAAGAAAGGAAAAGAGAGCAAACACTGGTGACCAATGATTTATATTTATAGCTGGTACAGACATATAGTACTTAATATCCTAATTATCAATATTACTTTTAAGAAGTTTTTATACTGTCTGTCATTTGACTATGGAAAAGGGGGCTAGCGTTCTTGGAATACAATTCACAGTAAATAAGAACTGGCTTACAAAAACTGGGGAAATTGCCCAGTTTCCCCATCCTAACCACACTTCCGAGCTGGCTTTTGCTCTTGTTCTCTCTCTCTCTCTCTCTCTGTCCCAGCAAACAGGCTAAACCGAGCTCCTTGTTCTGAAACTTTCCCTGAAGCAAAGACAAGGCATTTGGATCCTGAAGGACTTTCTTACTAAATATAATCACAAAGTTAAACAATAAAAGCAGTCAGTAGGATCAGCCGTCAAGAGAGGATTGCCTGCCTGTCTCCTCCTCCCGCCCTTGCAAGGATTAATCCAAGCCAGGATTGGGCAAAGAATGTACTGTTGGTGTAACCAAGGCAGCTGTGCACCCGGGGCTCTGCAGGCCCTACGCGACCCCACAGCAGCATCCTGTCCACCTGGTGACTGGCTGCTGCCCTCAGGCAGATCCCCTGAGGGAGCTCTGGGGCTCGGAGCTCCTGCTTCCTCAATCTCTGCAAGGGCCAGAGCAGCCGGGCCTGGTGCTCACGGACTCCTCAGGCTGGCTGACTGCAGGCATGAAGCAGGCCTGGGGCCACCCACGCGAGGCTCTCTGAGAGGGCACACCCTCAGGCCTGGGCACTGGAGCAAGGGAGTCTAGAGGTCGGGGGTCAAGCCCTGCACCTCTCAACATGTTTATCAGACAGGGCAAGACTGTGTGTATGTATGTGTGCATGTGTGTGTGTGCGTGCACACACGCACACACATGTGATGATTACATGTTAACTTAACAAGTAAGACCAAACACAGACTCAGCAGAAAATAAGCACTTTTAGAAAAGGACCATGCTATATACTTTTATATAATTATAGCATTACTTTATTACAGAATTATTTTATTCTAATTAATTATTTACATTCATTATTTATTCTTTCTATATATCATGTAATTCAAAAATAATAGATTAAATATACGCTGGATTAACCCTGTATATGTATTATAAGCTTATAACATAATGCTCTGAATATGAACACTGAGAGAGAGATCAAACACAGGTGGCAGTGTTTGTGAGGTCTACCGAGGGATCAAAAATCATCCAACAGCCATGCAGTGGCCAAGCGATCAAGTCCAGTGGAAAGCAAATCTGCAAGGTCAACCCCGACCAGTCACATCTTATTGGCTCTTTAGGTATGAGGAGCAAAGCGAGCTTGCCGAAAGGGTCATTGCTGACTTACAGCCTGGCTCACTATCCAACTTCAACTCATGAGGACCAGACAGGGATTAAATGCAAGTGGATTAGAAGAGCTCATAACTATAAACACCAAAGCCAGTTTAGCATTTCATAAAAAGCAATTTACATTTGGTGAAAAGAACTAATCCAAACACGTCCAGGAGCCAACACCATGTTATCATCTCATCCTCAAGCACACATTCTCCTTTTGCTAGAGAATCCCAGAAAAGTCCTATCTTTCTCTAGCCATTGCAAAATGCTCAATTTGATCACACTGCTGGGAAGAGAAAGGTATTTTCCATCTTTAATACCATAAATAGTTTGTTTCTCAAACTGGCTCCAGGAAAAGGGGTAGAATGTCACATATCTGAACTTACGACTAATGCCAAAAGATGCTGAAACATTTTCCAAAAAAAATGTCGTAAGCATTAAGTCATATTAGATTTTGTGCTTTGGTGAAGGATTCTATGGTTTTCTCTTCCAAATATTATTCTGTTCAAAGATGACTGCCCAGAATCCTCTCTCAAGTATTTTCCAGAATAATTTCAGTAATATCAGCAAAAACAAGAATTTGATCTGTTGCCCAGGAGGGTCTTTGCTTTGAGAGAGTTAAGAAAAGGCTTAGAAAATCTTGGTTCAAAATGAAGATAATTTTTTTTTTCACATTGCAAGTGAGGTCAGTGCAATACATCTATTAGCTAGTCTAAGGGTTGCCATTTGGTTGAACACCAAGACTGACCTGGTAATCCTGAGGCAAAGGTGCCACCCGTGCCCTCTCTCTATTTCCTGGGGGCACTTCCGGCAGAGAGCAGGGCATGGGGCTGAAAGGCTGGGACAGTGAGCATCCCACTGTAGGGGACATGGGCAGTGAGGCAGCTTCTACACTCACTTACCTTCTCAGCTGCATCCAACCCCAGGCCCATCACAACCTACTGTGAACTAAATTATTGGTTGTTTGATAATTCAGGTAAATTTAAAATAGGTTCTTTCACCAAAGAGTGAGGACTGATGCAAACCACCGAGGGCATGATCCTCGTGGGCCTGGTCCAGTGCGCTGTCCCAGGAACCTGCAACAGCTACTCTAGGGCAGATGCTCAACAGACGTTCCCTACTTGAATCAAATCAACTATGCAGCCTAATAATGGGAATGTTAAATTAAACAGGTTATTGGAAAGCCCACGAATGCATTTCTCTAAATCTCATTTAAATTCCGGAAGGTTTGGTTTTTATTTTGGCCTTGGGTTTTTTTGCTTCACAAATGAGTCCAACATATAGCTAGTTTATAACTTCAATAAGATTTATTTGTGCTAGATAATACACTTGAGGTTTATTACAGGATCCCAAGGATTAAGGATCATCCTGAAATGTTGTCACAGCTCTCAATAAATATTATCAGTGACCATGAAAATTATGGTTGTAATAGAACCAAAATAGCAATATTAGTTATACTAAGACTATATGTATTATTTATATCAAAAAGTTACATAGTAGTTACACCTTAGACTTTAGACTCAGAGAAAACTAGGTTCAAGCCCCAGATGGATCAATAGCCAAGTAGCTCTGGGCAGTTTATTTTAACCTCTTCAAGCTTATTTCCTTAATGTAAAATGGGAATCATGATAGTACCTGCCTACGAACTTACCAATTTACCAATAACAGGGTTGCCATGAGGATTAAACACTATAATTCATTTAAAGCACTAAAATGAGTATCTGGTGCAGGGCAAGGGCTCATTAAATACGTTCCAATGGTCATAATAATGTAATGCAATGGTTTTTCTCCCCTTTTTTGTCCTTTCTGCAGTCAACACTAGAACATTTTTTATTTATACTCTTAATAAATATTGACCACTCTTGTGGGAACATAATTACCTCTGTTCCGCGGAGGTCCTTAGGAAAATAAACATCTTCAGTCATCTGAACACTTAGGCCAAAATCCACCAAAACAGCTTTTGTGGACATGAACACAATGTTGCTAGCTATAAAGAGAGGAAAGTTTTTAGCATAAAATTGTCTATATACCCATAAATAATGAAAACATTACTTAAAACGAGTCCCAAATCAGAATAATTGAAGTGCTTCCCAACTGAGATAGACACAATATGCTTAAACGAGGAGGAGGAATCTAGTGAGAGTTTAGGTGGAAATCACTTCAGGTATGTCAAGAATTCAGCCAACGTGGATATAAATGATTGTAACCACTAATAATGCTCAAGATACAATAGTTGACATAGAAACCAGCTAAGTATCCATCGATGGACAAATGTGATATATGTGTATGTATATATAAAATGGAATATTATTCAACTGTAAAAAAGAAGGAAATCCTACCCTTTGTGACAACAAAGATGGACACAGAGGGCATTTTGCCAAGTGAAATAAGTCAGACAAAGACAAATACTGTATGAGATGATTTATATGTGGAATCTAAAAAAACCTGAACTCATGGAAACAGAGAACAGATTGCTGGTTGCCAGGGGCAGTGGGTGAGGGTGGGGAAAATGGGTGAATGAAGGTGGTCGAAGGGCACAAACTTCAGTTAGAAGATGAACAAGCTCCGAGGAGGTAATGTACCCATAGTTAATAATACTATAATACTATAACGTACATTTGAAAGTTGCAAAGAGTAGATTTTAAAAGTTCTCATCAACAAAAGCATTGTAACTAAGGTGATGGATATATTAACTAATTTGATTGCGGTGAGCATTTTGCAATATATACACATATCAAATCATTACATTGTGCACCTTAAATTTACACGGTTATATATGTCAATGATATCTCAATAACGCTGGAAAAAATATAATAATGCTCAAGAGCTTGAGGTTCAAATTCTAAGATAGAAGCATACTGTTATCAAGCTACTTTCTAAAAGAAAAAGTAAAATACCCTTTATTTTTCAGTAAAAGTGAGGCTAGTCCAATTTGCCATGAGATATTAAGGGTTCATCGTGGGTCTCTCTTGTGTGTTTCCCCATCATCTCTTACTCTGAGAAAGCAGCCAGCGAAGGTTTGTTTAATGGACTCTCGCCAAATTGATGCTCAAAATTTAAAAGCTATTTGTTTCTCAAGAATATGTGAGGGTATGTGTGTGTGTTTTAAAGAAAATTACCATTTTCAAGTCTTATTAACAAGGGCGTAGGCAGTACTTAATAGATGTGTGGCTATAATCTTTTCTACAATTGGATAATCATACTTCCTTATGACTTGGAAAGCGCCAGTAACCTGGCCTGATTCTAAGCCATGTTTCAGGAGCACAGCGGAGGGAGGTGGAAAGTGCTCTGAGGGAGTGTCCTCCCTGCCACTGAAGATCTTCAGACTGGAGGAAGGAGCCTACGTGCGGCCTGTCTAACCAGTCTCGAAGCCAAAAAGGTACATATCCGAAGACAACTCACGTTTAATATCGTGGTGAATCACTTTGTTCGAGTGTAGAAAGTCAAGTCCCTTGAGAACATGCTTTGTCACCCAAATAATTTCAAACTCTCTCATCGGTCCACAGCTCTCCAGTTTCTCCAGAACAGAGCCTCCTTCGCCTGCTTCCATAAAGAGGTGCACCGTTTCACCCCACAGGACTACGCCATATAACTCAGCGATGTTCTCGTGCCGGAAGCAAGCCTGGATTTCCACGTCGGATGGCTTAAACTGATCGACTGGGATCTAAAACACAAAAATCCAGTAAGATTCTAAACAACCCCAGGACAGTGAATAGTGAAATATATATATATATATACACATATAATGTAGGTCAACCCACAAGCCAGAAGGCAAATAATTGCCCTCAAGGATACTCTGATTATGAAATTGTACTGCCGAGTTAAGAAAATGTTTACTCCAGATCTGCCTTTACATTATGTCAGCTTTAGGTAAACAACTCAAAATAAAATAAAAAACAAAGAAAATGAAATATTATTTTCATTTAGAACGTAGAAATCCAGCCAAAGAATTATTTATGATTGAATCAAAAGAGAGAGAATTTCCTATCTATTTTATGTGTAATTTCTATGGCACCTAGATTTTAGGTTGTATTTTCTATATTTCAGCTTGTCTTGAAACAATATTATGTCTTTGGTCCCACGGTCTATGCTCTAACAGTGCATTTAAAATAAGCACCGGCCATCCATTCTACAGAGAACCAGGCAGGTATTAATAAAGAAGCAGATCTTTCACAGTGCATATGGACATGGGATTTCTCCAAAATATAGTGTTAGATGAAAAAAACAAGATGCAGAAGTACATATTTTATGTTCCTATTTGTAAAACATTTTTAAACTCTACATACATATGTCCATAGACATTTTCTTAAAGGACACATAAGAACCCATTATCAGTAGTGACCTCAAGGAAAGGGATCTCATTCTTCACCTAGACCCTTTCGAATCTATTCAGGGTTGTTAATCATTTTATATGTTTTTCTGTTTTAAGAAAAAATACAGTTTAAAAATTAAATATAAGTACTAAAAGGAAAACAAACCCACAAAGCTGTTTTCCCATGCCTTTTGAGATGAAACTGAAAAACTAGACACTTTGGTTCTAAGATCTTTCTAAAATGTCATCAGATTGTTTTTAAAAGAACTTAAACATGTCCCCTCTAAATGCAAGCTTTAAATGCCTGACTATAACACTTCCTTTTTTTCTTTTAATAGCTGATATTCTAGCAAATCTTTATGAGGGAATTAATGAGGTCAAGATATTATTGACCTTTTAATTAAAAGAAGAAAGACTAAGATGATATTCAGCACTTACTTTGCATATTATTTTTGGTTAAATCAAGTGATTTTATTTTATTGCACTTTAAAACAGACATAGATAAAAGTGTAAAACTGCTTAACTATCAAACTCAGTGAATTATCAGCTGAACACGCCCATGTAACCATCATCCAGATCAAGAAACAGAACCCTACCAGCATCCCGGAAACCCCCTCCTGACCCCTTCCAGTCACTGCTCTTCAAGGGGACCCACTAATCTGAGTTCCACACGCCTGGATTTGTTCAGCTCATTTTGGGCCTTTCTTTAAGTGGAATCTCATACCATAGATATTTTGGGTCTGGCTGTTTTGGCTCAACAAAATGATTATGAGATACATTGACATTACTGTAATTGTAAACCACTTCTTTTCCTTGCTGTACGGTATCCCATCGTGTAAATATACCACATTTCAGCATCTGGAAACTTCCAGTTTGGGATTATTACAAATAGTGCTGCTAGGAAGGTTCTGACACATAGCTTTTGGTGTACACGCCCGTTGGGTTTGTACCTACAGGAGTGCAATTGCTGGGTGAGAGGGTGTGTGCATGCTCAGCTTAGGTAGATATGCCAAAGAGTTTTCCAAAGTTTGGAGCAATGATTGTTTAATAAGAAGAGATGGGGTCTTTTCAATAATTCGTCTAGTTAAACTCAGCTCTTTAGTTTGCAGTCCTGAGGAGTCCTGCAGCCTTGCCAGCTTCTGCTTCCCTGCCTGGCTCCCTCCTCAGTGGGTGGCATTAAAGAAACAGCACACGGATTTGCTCCTGCAGGAGAGCTCCCCTCCACCCCGCCCCACCACAAGAGGGATGATGTTATCCAAGCTGGTGCTAAATAAGCCAGCAGGACTGTCTTTTTCATCAGGGCAAACCAGATTAAAATCAACCCCCCACTTAGACCAAGGGGCTGAACGCTTCCAGGTAGCAAGCAAATCCATAAAACACAGACAATTTGGACAGGGTACCCTCAGATAAGATCCAGTCAAAGGGTAACAACTTTGAGTAATGCAAACAAACAAACAAACAAAAGCCGCAACGTCAAACATGCAGTGCACGCTGTCTGGTTATAAAGTACATACCAATTTACACGCCATCCTTTTCTTAGTCTTTATATCTTGTGCTAAGTACACTTTTCCAAAGGCCCCCCGAGGAATGAAATCAGAGCCAATATTCCTATATGTCAGCTTCCAGGGGATGAGGAGAACATCTGAGTCTATTTGATAGCGTCCATTTTGGGGAGTGATCACCTACAACATGATAAAGATGCAAGAGGGTGAGAATTTCAGCAAAGTCCTTTGCTAAGACCCACCCTTTAGAAACTGGTTACTTTAGATCAAATTCCTATACACAGTGCTTGAAAGTGATGTCACTGTGTATAACCCTAACAGTGTACAGAGACTGTATTTAGAGCTTCAGCAAGACAGAGAAAGCATGTAACAGAAACACGTCCCTGGGCAGACCTGATCATATTATTCATGAGTAATTAATTGCTAAATAGAACTTTAAAAATTATTTATCTAAGGGAGTATGACGGATCTGACCAAAAGGCTGAAAATAAAGATTGCATAAATATAAATGCTGCCTGCAAGTTGACTTGTTTCCAATTAAAATGTGCTAACCTGTTAGTCCACATAGCTATTACTCACACTTGATGCATACAGAGAGAACATGGAAATTAACTGAGGATCATGAAGGAGTGTGGAAAACAATGTGTTATGCCAGAGATATGAGCTGACAGCGCTACATAAATAAAGTAAGGGCAGAATTATTTCCCACCTTCTTACTCATTTAATATATATTGAGTACATACTGCGTGCCAGGCACTGTGCTAGTGCTGAGGAGGCAGCTACGAACAAGAGATAGATGACCTCTGACCTCCAAGAGTGCATGAGCAAGCACTTTAGAACAAGAGATTTCAAAACCAGTCGACTCAAAAATGAAGAGACGTACCCTGACAGCAGTGTGGGTTACAAGGGGATGTGCATTTGTCAAAACTCATCAACCAGAAATTTAAGATCTGTGTATTTTACTGCATATAAAGTATATCTCGATTTTTAAAGAGTAAGCAAGTTAGAAGGAGAAATAATTAAAATTAAAACAAATTAACAAGGTAGTCCATGGGAGATATGACCTGGAACACATGTGTAAAAAATGTTTGAAGTGGGGGCCGGCCCTGTGGCCGAGTGGTTAAGTTCGCGTGCTCCACTGTGGCAGTCCAGGGTTTCACCGGTTCGGATCCTGGGCACGGACATGGCACTGCTCATTAGGTCACACTGAGGTGGCATCCCACATGCTACAACTAGAAGGACCCACAACTAAAATATATAACTATATACTTGGGGGATTTGGGGAGAAAAAAAGCAGGAAAAAAAAAAAAAGAAGATTGGCAACAGTTGTTAGCTCAGGTGCCAATCTTTAAAAAAAAAAATATTTGAAGTGTTCTTTCAAGGAATAAAAAGTCTCAAAAGTCCAAGTTTTCCTTCAATGTAATTAGTAATATTACGACTTCAGATTATGAATCCAGGAATTATGAAACTATCAAAATGATGTCATTTCAAGCACAGAAGAAGCTGAGGGGAATGTGGACCACATGGGAAAAGAATGATGGGCTGATTCATCTACCGATGCATGGAGCTCCTCACAGAGTCATGTTACGGGAATAGTTCTAGAAACTACCAGGGTTATTCATTTGGTCTCCATATTGCTAATCTTAGCAACCCCCCCGCAAACAGATGTGCTCACTATTAGTCAGGGAATGAAGTAGAGAACAACTCCAATACCTAGAAATGTGAAGTCACTAAATTTAAAAATTAAATATTTACCGAGCGCTCCCTCTGTGCAGTGGAAATGAATGAGTACAGGACCACGGTCTTGACTTGTTTGAAATATGACCTTCTTTCAAGAAGTGTGTCACCTCAAGTTACTGGAGGTCTCTTTTGATAGCATGCTAAGAATGTGATGAATTTAGACCCTTTCCACATTTAGACAGAACCGTATTGACAGCACTCAACTGCACTAGCTTATTGCCTCTCTCTTGTTATTAAATATTTACAGACGCAATGTCACCATTTCCTCTCAGTTATCAACTTCAGTGTTTAACTCACGTTCGTGTAAGTTTTGCTGTTGTCTAACCCAGTTTGACCCAGTGTCCTCTCAGTCTATCCAAGGGATGGAGAATATTAAGAGCCACACACTGAGTGCGCATCACCAGCCAGCACAGCGCTCAGTACTTGAATACATTATCTCATCAAAGTCTCATGACAGTGCTATGAGATAAGTACTATTTTTATCTCCATTTTACAGATGAGGAAACTGGCTTCAAGAGGTTAAGCAACTTGTGGGGCAGTAACAGCGTCAGGATTTGAACTTAGCTCTGTCGGACCCCAAAACCACAGGTCCTGTTCTTTAGATAAGAGCCCTTGAGCTTCCAGAAAGCTGTAATTAAAGCTGAGCCATGATCAAAACCCAGTCATTAAAAGCCTACATTTCCACATCATGGAGTACCCTTCTCCCCTTTAGATCAAATACTGCAAGTTCCTTCCCCCCTACTTTACAATCTCCCATCTCCTGGGCACCCTCCTCGGAGCGCCCCACAAGGTCTCCACGGTGACCTTTGATGATAGGCCCTGAAGGGAAAGTGTGATATGCGAGCGCTGACCAGTTGCAGTTCTGCAAAGACCCTGGTTCTTCCCCAGCCCCAGGCCTTCCCTATTTGGGTTTGAGATAATTTTTTTCCCTCCTTCTTCTTCCTTTGGGGGCCCTCCCAAATAATCTTACAGAACTCTATGCTGCTTATCTCTGCAATTCTTCCACTTACCAAAGCCATCTTCCAGTGCAGACATTATAAGCATGCTTTCGATGTCCTCGTCCAGATCACTATTATCCATACTAAACAATACTGGGCCCAGGAGCAGCACTTGAGAAAAATTCTTAGGTATTTTGGTAAAAATAAATTCCATTTTATTGTGGAATATAGTGGGCTGTGGCTGCTGTGAAATGCATGTGACCTTAGGCTATGTTCAAAGAAGCATATTGTCTAGAACAAAGGCAGAGCTGGCCGTATCCTACTCTGGTGGTCACATAACGTCTGGACCGCCACATTCAACTTCTGAGCTGTAGGACAGGCATGGCACAGGCCTGAGCTGAGGGCGCTATCCAGATGACAAGGAGAGTTAACACCCCCATGCACAAGCAGCAGCAGATACAATTAGAAGCGTTTGTGAAAGAAGAGAGAAGATGTGGGGAATCTGCAATTTCTGGAATATTGGAAGGACTGTCAAAAGGGGGGAGAGTAACAATTGCATACAACAACAACTACCACAATGATTTGCATTCTTTCAACACTCGCTGTGTGTAAACAGGTCACATGCAGCCATGATTTGTTCCCAACAACAACGGTATGGAGTAAATGCTATCATGTTACCCATTTTACAGATGAGTAAACTGAGGCACAGAGAGACGTAATAACTAGTCTAAGGTCACACAGCCGACCCATTCTGAGCTGAGGTACATACACACTTATTTCATTCCCTGGCATTTTTCACCACTATTCATCATATATACCTGTTTATGGCCAAAAAGTAGAATGAGGACTAAGAGAGTCAGAGATGGATTTTAGTCCTATATAAGGAAGGATTTACTTACAGTCAGAACTGGCCAAATATGAAATGAAATGCCCCAGTGTATGATGAACTGTTCATCACAGGAGATTTTCCAGCACAGACCAAAATGCACCATCAATTACTGGAGATGATGAATGGGGTGATTCAAGCACTAGACAGGGGATTTGACTCAAGTATCTTTAAGGTTTTTTCAACTCTGGGAAGCCAGGACTCCATGACTAAGCCCTGAGGAACAGCATTCAGCATCTCACACCCACGTCTATGAGCGAGCCCTTTGGGGCCCTTCAGCTCTCCAATAATCACCGAAGACTTGAGTGTATGGAATCCATTTTGGGTTATTCATCTCCAGATCAGGTTATGAATTTGTCTAGACTATAAATAACTAGTAGCACTCTCACACAAAGCAACCCCTACATCAGTCTCTCAAGGTTCTCCCCCAGGTCCTGCTGGACGTTGGTGGAATCTTTATTAAATGTTATTTTTAGGAAAATAGCACACACGCACACACACAGACCACCATTTAACATGCCTATGCTTCCGGATAGTTTTTGAATTCTTGGTCCTCCGTCCTGTCTAATTACCTCCATGGATGTTGTGGTTGTTGGTTGCCTGGAACACACCACGTGTCCATGCCTCCAGGCCTTTGTACATACTCTTCTCTTCATCTGGAACACTCTCCATTCTCCATCCCCTTCATCTGTCTAACTCCAAGTCAATAACTTAGGCGTCAACTCCTCTTGGAAGCCTCTCTGACATTCTCCCTTGCCCAGACCCACCCGCTTGGCTATGTGAGGTATCCTGCCCCACATTGCCCTAGCAATCAGGGCGTAGTTGCACTGGGAAGTACCACACTGCATGATAATGGCCTGTTTACTTGCCTCCTGCCTTCACCAGGCAGTAAGCTACCAGAGGGCACAGACTGTGCAACACTTGGAAAAGCACCTGATACACTGCAGATGTTGGAGTCATGTCTAGCAAGTGAAACAGAGGGATACTTGAACGAAAGGATTTGGCCCATATGTAGATAAACTTCATAGATCAATTTTACCTTGGAATTTATTTATTTGGTAGATATTTGCTGTCATTTTGTAAAGCAGAGAGACAGAGAGCAGCAAACGAACCCAGAAGAGAAAAGTTTTGATAGGGTATTAGGTGGAGGATGGGGAAGAGAAAGGTTCTGAATGCAGGATGGTTCCAAGGAGAGCATCACGTGAGGGTGAAAGAGAGCCAAAAGCAAAGCTTGCTTCTTGTAGCATCTTGTCTCAGGCTGGCTATGATCAGCGACGGCTCCTCGCAACTCCCATGCCATTAGCCATGGACCACAGAGCTGCGATAGGTCACTAGCAGTTGCAGGGTTGTAACAATCCTTCAGGTCAGTGACAGGAAAGGCAACCACGGCCCCCAGAGCCATCAAACACTGGCTTGATTTGTGGATTTTAAACTTCTCCTGTTATCTTCAATTCACTTTTACCTCTTCCTGCTTTACATGTTATATTCTTGATCATTTTTAAAATACAAATCCTTTAAAAGTTTTAAAGATCCCTGCCCTTATATGTCCTGTTCTTAAATTTTCTCCTGAATATGCATCTATCTGTCAGCCCTCCATGGCAGGACTGCCAGCATTTCACTCTTACCCTTTGCTGGTAAAATTTTTACTTCCTTTATCTCCTTTTTTGCACTAGCATTTTGTTTTTACTCCAAAACCTTCAGGAAGCTATTGCTTTGTACTCCTTATAGTTTTCCTGAATTCCCTTCTGTACACTCCCAGTGAAGTTCTATGGCCCATCTCTCATCAGCCTGATGGCCCAGGGGAAATATACCTAAGTCTCTACATATTTACAAGCAAGAATAATTTGTTTATTCTGCATGTTTTCCTTAAAAATACCAATTCATATAAGAGACAGAAATACATAAACCATTATGTTTCTGATCACAGACATATATATTATTTTGAACCAGAGTTGTCCAGCTATATTTTAGCTAAGAAAATCAGGCATTGCTCCTACTTCAAATTATTACCTCCCATGGATAAGAAGAAGTACTATTCTCCAGGTAAAGTCAAGTCAACTATTAAATACAGTTTGGTATATCCAGACCAAAGCAAGTCACGTGACCGTGCAGAATGTAATAACACCACTGGCTTCTAACAAAACAATTCACTCCATAGCTGACCTAAACTGCTGTGTTGTTTTTAATTGAATGAACATGGTATGCAAAAAAAACCAAAATAATTACAAACTTTGTCCAGACTCTTTACTTGTTCAGCAGTGACCTTCCCCCATCATTAGCCATTTTGCCATTTAGAGACACCAAAGGAAAGGGGTCACTTTCATGAATAAGCACGTTTTGCAAGCTACCACCCACTCCTTTGCAAATTGTTCTTTTCTAAAAAATTGGATCACCTTTAGCCAGCACCGCTGTTCACCTCTGACATACTAAGAGATTGACAGAATCTCAGGCACACCTAAACACATCACCTGATCTATGATTGTGGCAACCAAGTATTGTCACAATATTTTGGATTATTTACATACTTGGGATGACTAAGCAAATATATTATTTGTCATTCATACCTTGCCAATTAAGGAAGGAGAATCTGTGGATAGCTATTTACTGCCTACACATCACATTTCTGCAAGAACCATATTTAGCCAATACTAATATTGTGACATTTCAAGATGTGACAAGAGAGGAGCAAAAATTTCAGCTTCAAAAATATTAATTAAAGTCTTTCTTCCCTCTCAGATAAAAAATTCTCATTAAGCCTTTCTCTTCTGCCTAATTGATGATGAGCGTTTTAACGAACAGTTAAACTAAAATACACTCTTCTGAATTACTTGTTTGTAAAACTACTACTAAAATATGGAAAAGATTCTTTAAATGGACTTTTAATGAAGACTTTTTTGCATCTTTAACATGAAGGGGATTCTTACAGATACTGCATTTTTAAAAACCATACCTGGCAGCCAGGTTAAAGCAGGTGTGAATGCTACCCTGCGTTAAATGAAGCTGCAGTAATAAAGCTGAACACACAGCACTCAACTGCATCAAGGAAAAAACATACCATATTTAATAAAATTCCAGATTCTTGTGGTCGGTGTCCATAAAAACGCTTTGCAGTATTCGATATATGGTTTGCAAAAGCAAGCAGTTCCTCCACGGTTCCACGTCTGACCGACGACAACGAAGGCACCTCTTGGCCACCGAGTAGCAGAGACTCTGAGCGCTCCTCATTTTGATTACTATCTTGACACATGGTCATTAGACTGGGTTCGTAAACTGGTGGCTCTTCACTTGGGTAAAGATTTTCCATAATGTCTATTATATCAGACACATTCAAATGTTGAATTAATGAATCGAGTTCTTCTTTGTTGTCACTGCCAGTGCTCATGTACTCCATTACTGTTGTGCTTTGTAGAGAATCTGCAAAAGAAAACACAAATACTTAGTTTGCTATATTTGTATTTGCATTTTGAGATTCATGGGAACTGGACATAAACTGGGAATGGGCCTCTCTATGCCCATGTCTACAAAACGAGGGCCCTGCGTCAACAGTGTGTGTGAATTCAAGTTGACAGACAGTGAAGAAAGGGACCTTAACTAACCATTAGTCCAGCTGCTCACTTTGCAGAGGGAAAACCCAGAGAGCTTATATGTTACTCACTCACTGAGTTGATGGCATCAGCTATAGCCACTGAAAACAAACTTTCACCAAATATAAACATAAATAGGAGCAGCTCAGAAATCTGAGGAGCTGAGGCTCCAGGCTGGTGCTTTACAGCTTCCACCCTGCTGCTCCGCCAGGGGACAATGCTCCCCACACACAGGGACAGAGCTCCCCACAAACAGGGACAGTGCTCCCCACACACAGCTCCGGTGGCTTTTATGCCTTGGGTGACTTTAAAGAAAAAGAACTACTTTAGCAAATTCAGGAGCTAACTTGGCAAATAAAACTCAAGCCCTGAAGCCAGAAGCACGTAAGATGGATTTTAATGGAAGCAAATCTGATGCTGATAGGTCAAACTGCAGGAACAATTCTGATGCAAATGAATTTAACAGCTCATTTAGAAGGGGGACAGGAAGCCTCAAATCCCTGTTCTGCCAGCGAAGAGTATGAGAAAGAAGATTCATTTAACCTGTGAATCAGCTGTCCCCTTTGGGACTAGAATTCTTTAACAGTACAGAGCATAGATTTCAAGGGTCCAAAAAGGTTAATCTAATATCTAGGTCAATAACTCTCCAGAAGTCGTAGAATTACAAAGAGGCCAGGGAAGCTAAATCTATCCCAAGTAAGACACATGTGAGACCAACGAACTGTGTTAGCCAATATCATATTTCAGTTCTTACATACAAAGCAAGGGCTACACCTGGGGATCTGCCAATGAGAACAAAAAAGGGTAGATCAAGGGCAAAACATGACGCTGTTACTCAGGACTTTAGAACAAGTCCATTCCAAAGGATTAAAGACAAAGGATTTAAGACATCTCAGAGAATTTGGAGGCATGTATGCCTACTTAAACTATTGCGCTCCTGAACGCACAGCCTCTCTCTGAAAGAGGTTCCAGGTTCTTAAAAGCAAGAACCTTTAACACATTCGACACTCAGTGCTGAAAGCCACAGGCCTCCATCAACCCGGAGCACAAGGGCAAAGCTCCAGGAAACGTTCCACCACGGGGCCACCTGCAACGCATGACCCAGCCATCAGCTGAGTGAATCTCATTTGAGAAAAGAACCATGCAATGTAGTGCCCTCGTTAACTGACTTGACAATCACTTGCTGACGTAAGGAAAGCAGTCTAGCATCCTGGAGTCTGACATTCCATCAAGACTCAGACTGCTTGGGGTCAAATTTTGGACCCTCATCTACTGTCTGCGTGACCTTGGGCTAGTACTTTGATCTCTCTGCACCTCCACTCCCCCATCTGTACAATGGAAGCAGTGCTGAGCAGCACCTACCTCACAGGGTGGGTGCGAGAGTTAAGGAGGTCATGTGCAGAAGGTGCTCGTGCAGTGTCTGGCCCACAGTAAATCAGTTGTGTCATTGGAGTTGCTGTTATGAACTTAAAAGAGAGAAGTACAGAGTCAGACTCCTGGCTTTGCACACACTGCATGAGACCTCCTTCCTTATCAGCAAAAGGGATGTGGCTACCTATTCCCCCAACTTCTTCACAGTAAGGTTTTAAAGATTGCATCCAAGACAAGAGACAGCGAAAAAAGGCAGAAACCTATGCACACTGCTTTGATAGCTGTTACCACCAGTTACATCCAGAGAGCCAGGAAGCTCCCTCTCAGAGATCTTGCAGCTCTTGGAGCCTGTGGGGTTATGAAAGGAATTTCCTAGGTTAATAGAGGAACATTCGACTTTGGTTTCATCGAGCCATTTTAGTTGCAGTTTCTGCGTGTCGAATTTACTGAAAAACAGAAGCTAAAACAAAAAGAGCCTGATTTAGGACCCTACTGGCTCAAAAGTTCCAAGGCTCCTGGACTGACTTATGAAATGGCTAACTTGAGAGAAAATAAAGTTCCCAGTAGCAACAGGGCTCAAGAAAGAGAGGGAGAAGTCCATTCCGACGCTTTACAGCACAGTCAGCCGACCCAGAGAGGAAAGACAGCTTTTGGTCTTTCAAACCTGTAGAAAGTCTCAAGCATCTCAAGCATTTATATGCAAAACCGAAGCAAGAGGTTAAACACACACACCCCTAAACTGCGTGCTGGGGGGCCGGGCGGGAGGAGGAGAAGAGAAGGAGGGAGCAGGGGAAGGAGGGCGGGGGCGCGGCGGAGTGTGGCTCGGGGGCAGTCTCCGGATCCGGGCATAATTCCCTAGCAACGCCCGGCTCCTCTCACGCCCAGCAGGCTCCCGGAGCAACCTGGTGACCAGCCCGCCCCCTCAAATGCCTCCGCAAAGCCCCTCAGCACTTTCAGGCCGTAATTAAGCAGACAACACGCTAATGATTTCCGCGTTATTCATGATCAGTAGCCATCTAGAAAAAGTGTGGACTGTGAAGATATTCTAGCTCAACAATAGAGACCCTTCCTCATACAATTTACCAAAAAAAAAAAATCCTTATAAAATTCCTACTTCTTAACGGAGTAGACGAGGATGGCAATTTTAGAAATGGAGAAATGGGCAAATACAGTCGAAATTATTTGCTTCAAACTGTTTCAGGAACCAGCAATAAAATCAAGAGGAAATCCTATTCCAAAACATTAATGTCACACTCTTGGGTACTTGTATCTGCATAAACAAACGTTGAGGGTTTCCTGGTAAGTGTGAGTGAAAACGGCCAAGATTTCAGGGATCAGCTTCTGCCTAACAAAGGACGATTATACCTTGCGGTACTTCCCATTTAAAAGATATTTTCTGCCGAAATAGTACATTGCCTCCCAGGGCACATTTCTTATTATATTTTTGTTCTCAAAAGGACCCAGAATGACACAGTCTAGCTGAATAGAAGCACAGCGACTCTACTTCAAGACATCTAGAGGCCTCATCTATCCGATTCTCCTTATACGAGCAAGTCCTTAATTAAGGGCCATCTGCCAGAAGTCCCGCACGCAAACCTCAATCCATCAGAGAGCTGGGGGCGTCTGTCGGAATCAGATTATATTCCACTTGGCAAAAACCTAAGACTCAGGCCACAGACATGTAAAGTAACTGTATTTGTGTTTTTTCCCGTTTTTTATCAGGAGCAGTCCTTTATTCTGGGCCAAAATACGTCTTTCCAAAAGTGAAACAGACATTGCAACGTTTCCCTTAAAGACAGCTCACGGCCTTCGCTGTTAACTTTTGGGACAATCTCTGCACGCCCAGCTTCCTTCCCAGCGTCGTTCTCCGCCCAGAACCAGAAGGATTACGGAGTCCTGATAGCACATTCCTACCGGGAAACATCTGTAAAGTATTATTTTTTCCCCTAGCATTCTTTCTTAGACCCGAAGCCCAGCATTTGTGTTCTGCTATAACGACTCATTAGTCACAGAACAGCGTCCGAGTTATAAGCATGAAATAAGTTTCAGCTAGTCAAAAGGCTGTCTTGCTCCACCAACCCCAACTCCCTTCCTCCAGTCCTTACAGCCAGCAGACCCTGAAAGGGTTTGTAAATTATAAAAGCACCCATCATTTGGGCGGGCGGCGGCCGGGTCCCCTGCCTCCGAGGTGCACTCACCGGGGCTCGGCAAGGAGAGTGCAGCCGTCCGGGCGGCGTACGCAGCGGGAGGCGCGGTGACAGCGGGTCCCTGCTTCCCCGCGCATTGCCCACACCCGAAGTGCTGGTGCGCTAGGGATCCGGGAAAGAGGAGGAAGGGGGAGGAGTCGCGATCTGCACTCGGTGAGACCCTTGCGCAAGGTGCTTTCCAGCTGTGCAGGCTGCAACCGCGACACGCGCAGAGGACGGAAGCGGAGCAGCGCGGGTGTCGGGCACGCCTCCACCTCCCCAAGTCCCGGAGTTCTCCCCTCTGCCGCGGGGACCCTCCGTTTCAGAATAGGAACAGCTAGGGCACCCAGAAGGGCTGCGATCAGAAAGACACCCCAGAGTCCCCAAACTGTGGATTACCTGCGGCCTCCGCGCGCCCCCGTGGGCCGAGCGCTCCAGCCGCGGCCTCCCGACGCCTCGGTGCGCAGCAGGTGGCCGGTCCTCCGGAGCCGGGCGCGCCGTGGCACCGAGGTCCGACGGCAGTAGAAGCTGGAGCCAGGGCGACCGGCCCCGGAGCGTGGCGCGTCGTCCAGAGCGCAGCGGACGAGTGAGCCCCAGGCCGGGCCGCCCTCGTCGGCCCCTGACTCACGGCGTCTGAGCCGGCCGAGGGGCGGCGCAGCGGACGCCAGCCGCCGCCTCCCCGCCTTTTCCATTTCCCCTTTCTCTCCGTAAACAGAAAGAGACTGCCGGGTTGCGGGGAAGCCGGAGCCCCCGCGCTGGGAAATTCCGTCCGCCCCCCCTCCCCGTTTGCCCTCGGGGCGCCCGGGCGGAGCAGAAGGCGGGACTAGGGAGGAGCGGGGAGGGGCGCGGGCCGAGCGCCGGAGAGAGGCTCGCCGCGCCATCTGGGGGGCCCCCGGACAGCAGCTGCCTCTCCAATTGAGGGCCTGGCACACCTAGGAGTTTTCCCTCAGGACCGGACAACCCGGTGGTAGAGGGCGCCCCAGTGGCGGATTTGTAAAGGGAGACTGTGCCCCCGCACCCCCGCCTGGTTCCCGGAGGAAGATCGTGTTTCCTAAGCGCTCGCGCCCGCGGCGCTACTCGGGTGTTCCAGGCCCGGGCAGGGGGGGCGCGCTGTTGGCCCCGCGCCCACCCCCAAGCCCTGCGGGCACAGGCGCGCCGCGTGCTGTCTCCGCCGCGCTGCAGGAGGCACAGTGAGCGTCTAGTCTTCTCAGAACCGCACCCAGCCGCGATTACGGGTAGCGCGGCCTGCCCTGCCCAGATTTCGATTCAGGTCCTCACACAATGAGTGTCGTGATCCGTGGTCCGCACGCACCGACTGCAGTTTGAAGGTTTGGGAGAGGCCGCCGCAGAGTGGGCGGGCAGGTAGGGGGTGAGCACCTGGAGACCCGCCAGGGTACTCCGCCAGCAAACCCTGGTTTCCCCTTTCTAGTCTTTATTGGAACGGGTTATTTTGTGGTACCGCCCAATTAGGAAGTGTGTCTGCACTGATGTCCAGCTGCGAGTCTGGATTCTCTGGTCTCCTTGGGAAGAAGATCAGAGTTCGTTTACAGGTTTCTTCTTGAGTGGAAAGCGTTTACTCCAGGTGAAGCCGGAAGTGAGTTCTAGGGAAATAGCGCCTCTCTCCACGAAATCCACTTTGCCAGGACATTCCCAAAAGCTACTGAATTGTGGGGCACCCTCTCCCCCCCTAAATTTCCCTAGTATCGAGCACTTACTAGGAGCCAGACATTTTGCAAGACAGCCGCCAGGAGAAGGAGAGATACTGTAAGGTAGACAGACATCCTCTCCATCTTAGCCCGGGACGTTGGGCGTGCCAGGCAGAGCTCAGATTCAAACACGCTCTGACTGAGTCTACAACCTGCTCTTTCCAGTGCCCAAGCTCATTTCCCTCCCGCAGACTCAAAGCTGCATCGGACACGCTCTAAGGCTCTCCAGGTTTCTTCTGTGAAAAGCGCATTGTTATTGCGACCTAAGGAAGTCATATGAGAATTGCTGGCGGATATAGGCTAGATGCGGTGAGAAGCAAGGCCCTTTTGCAGGACCTTAACTCCCATCATTTCTTTGTGCCTCTGGTCACGCAGGGACAAAGTGATTGACAGTCACCAGAGGGCGTCAGTAAAAGTGAGCCCAACTAGCAAATAAAACGGCGAGGGCTGATTCGGCGCTAATTCACCGCCCCCAGCCCCCGATTATTTTAAATACTAGAGCTAGGCGAGTGTTGTGATGTGAGTGACGCGGGACGTGTACCATCCAGGCGGTCCCAGACCGTGGAGGAGTCCCAGGTGCCTCGAGGAAGAGCCTTTCTTGGGGACCGGGCCCTTCCGGTCCTGGACGGAGAGGGTGCAGCTTGGACCAATCCTGCCGCAATGACGGCAGAGGCGGCCAGCGGCGGACTGGGAGAAGCCTCGCTGTCCCGGACGCGGACTCCCTGGGATTTGGCCCTGGCTCAGAGCTCATGATCCCACTCTCCACTCTCGGCTGAAACTGGAGTATGAACTCTTCCAGCGTTTTCTCTGGAAACCAGGTTGTGACCTCTAATTGTAACGTGAGAGACGTCTCTCCCTCATCTGTCGTCTTTGAACAACAAAGGATGATCTTTATAAGCATTTTAAAAATAGAAACATGGAACCACTCCCGCCCCCACCCCTTGAATGAGCTCATGAAAACCACACCTAATCTTCTGGGAACTAAGAATTAGCCTTACTTCCTACACAGAGGTCTCCCAAATATAGCTGTGTTTTAGGGAGCTGATGAAGTGGCTGCTCCCGCAGGGTTCTCTCTGGCTGCTAATGACTTAGGCAATAGCAGATTTCATCAGGGTGAATTAAGAGGTTTCTCTCAGCAACATTTTTAAAGTCTAGCAAAGATTAGGTCTGCTGACCCAGAGGGAAGAGACTGAAGAGAGCACAACTAAAACAACAGAAAAGGTTGACAAGACACCTTCATTTTTCTCGGTCAGGACTTTGTCACACAGGCTTGCAAAAACAATCCTGCTCTTTTAGGAGCATGCTAGCAAAGTGAGGTTTCAACTTGCCGCCCAGAAGCGCCTGGTGCCAGTGTGCATGACCACAGGGGAATTATTCAAGAAGCCCGTAGGAAGGACACTGAACCAGCTCTCTTGAGGCTGTTTGCAGCCTACAAAATGCACTGTAAGACTGAGTGGCAACCGGTTGCAGTCGACTTGAAGAGCCTTTCTCCACTCACAGGTTGGGACAATAATGGGTTTGTAGCCTGTAGTTTGGAAATCAGAACTTATTTACTCACGAAAACAAAATGATTAACAATGGGTAGGTGACCCAGTCAGCGCACCAGCCTATGTAACCCCAAATGGGGCTCTAGGCTAAGAAATGTAATATAGGACGCTGCTGTCAAGTCTTTTTCATATTCATAAAATATGGTATTTTAAGAGAATACTGGAATAAACTGAAATAAGTTGGGGGATAGCTAAGCTGTATGTGGACTGGTGAAAAATGTGTTTCACTCTCTTAAATTATAATAATAACATACAAAGTATTCTGGGAAGATAATTAAAACTGAATTTGAATAAAGCCTTAAATAAGCTATTTTTAAAGTTAAGAGAAACTTGAGCCAGATTTCATGAGCATAACTTTTTTCCACATGGTTTTATTGTAACGACTATTCATATTTACCAGTTCAGATGTTTGAATAATGATGTCATCAAACTTCTGATAATAACCTTCAGGTGAGAAACTGTACAGACATGTGGGTAGTACATTTAAAACCATTATAATCTTTAAAAATTTTAAACCGTTGAAATTGTATTTAAAAAATCCAGTAGCACTTTTTCTTTCATTGACACATGTAAATTTCTTACGCTAATGTGAGTGGATTTCAATTATAATTCAACTTTTTCATATTAAATCTTTCAAAATGAGAGGCTTTAATTTCCAGAACGTGCATGCGCTGTTGGAACAGTTAGTATGAACACCACTAAAAAGATACGTCAACCCAAAGGATGAGCTATCCAGTGGAGAAGGAGATTCAGGGCTGCCTCCTGGATCTGGGAACCACCAGCCCCACCTCATGTCCCACCCCCACCACTGACACCTCCTGTGCCCCTTTGGGCGCCAGCCTGAAACAAGCCGCCTGCAGCTGCTGGCTGATGGACCTGCTCGGCCTCACTCAGCATCTTGAGGTGGATTAGGGATGTCTGTCAGACCTATGGGGACCACAGGGTGCATTATTAAATTCTCCTCTGCCCCAGCAGCACCCCAAGGCATCCCTGATGAGATTGCAGAGGCAACAGGCCCTGGAGCTTCCAGCCCCACAGCTGAGAGTGCAAGGCTATGCCCTCAGCTCCTGCAACCCTCTCCTGTTCGGATCCTCCCAAGGACTCTGGGGAGGACAAACAGGGATGAAAGGGACAGTCTCCTCTGTGTCCTCCTTCCCTTTGCCTCTCGTCACCTTTTGGGGCATCACTGTACTCACCAACTTTTGCCATCACCGTGCAAAGTGGGAACAGCAACTGAAGGAGGGAAATGGGGCCTGGGGCAGAGATAGAGTCCTTACGTGGGGGGAAAGGGAGAGAAATCCCCCAGCAGCCATGGGAAGAGAAGGGAAGTTCCTAAGTACTCTCAGCTGCCGCCATTGTTTATCTATGAAGGCTGTGTGTCAATGGGGCCTGGATGTGACTCAGAGACCTGTTCTCACGTGCAGAAAGCTAAGTCATAGGTCTCTCAAAGCACCTAAATTGCACTATTCTGTATGATATATATGATACTTTTAGTAATTGCTTTGTGCTGTGACTTCCCCAAATTTGAGGTCCTTCAACCACACTTTGAAAACAGAAACTACTGCTCTGTGCTTCTCTATTCTACCTCCCAAATGGAAACTCCTGGTACAGCGTTTCTTCATCTTGGGCTTCCGAAATGACCACGTGGCCCTGGATGCCTCCAGGAACTGTGCAAGGCTCTGTCCTCGGGCCAATGCAGTGGTTTTCATTTTTCACATTTTGAGAGGGGGAGAAAGACTCAGCAGCGATGCTCCCCAAAGTGCCCAGGGCCAAATGTCCTGGAGCAGTTGTCCCAGGTGGGTTTGTGGAGGGTACCCACGAGCAACCTAAGGCCACCTGCTACATGCCTTATAAACCTTGGTACCTCAGTCCCCGCCCCCCCATCCTCTGCATCACCTGCAAATGCTGCCTAGAAAGGGCACTGCCTATGAGGTGAGGGATCCGTTGGCAATGCATTGGTTGGGTGAGGGGAGGAATTGTTTAAAAAAGTCAGTACAGTGATCCCCACCCTGTAACTGCAAATGTAAATGCGTAGATAGAGAAAAAAAAACCCAGAATAGCACACTCTCCAAAGATGATCATTTCCTAGCCTCTTTTGAAATGGTATTCTTCACACGCAACATGTTAGGAAACTGGTCAGATTATTTCAACAGCCTAAAAAAGGTGTGGTGTGCTTATCTTCACGTGACTTGTTTTAAACCAAGTGAGTTAAACACATTCTGCTTTTTGCTCTGGCAGTGACATTACAATACTGAAAACAGTTACCAGCAGATTCCATCCCTTTCATGTGAGTGGAGAGATTTCTTTCTTTCTTAAAGCCATGGATTCCTGTTCATCAGAACCTTTTTTCTTAATATCAAGAAACCTTGATGGGTGGATTTCATAATAAATAAGCATCATTACACACTCCAACCACATTAAAAATAACAATAAGAGCTATTATATTCTGAGCACTTACTAAGCCTCAGGCACTCTGCTAAATAAACCCTTTAGATGGATCATGTCACAGCAATCGTGAGGTGGACGTTAGTATCCCCATTTGCATGTGGGATTTACATGAATTTAGAGAGGTTAAGTAATGTATCGAAGGAAACCAGATTCTAACCCATGTCTGTCTGACCCCAAACCCAAATAAATATGTTCCTGCGTCTACCTGCCCGTGGTTGCCTCCCACAGCAAAGGCAGCTCGGTGCACAGCTATTTGTTGGTGCCTGTCGGAGGAAAACAGGACTGACCACGGGCCAGTTGTGAAACATCGCGGACAGTTTTCCCATCCTGGCCATTCCTTTGCAGGTGGCCGCCTTTTCAGGCTCCAGCCTCTGGCCCCCTCCTTTAGACCTGAGTGAATTTCAGACATACCTCCACCAGGTCTTTATATTTTTAACCTTTTATCTCTAACCATGAGGGAAGAGGCTCTGCAGGAATTTCGGCTATCTCCTTGTGCGTAGAGATGTGGGGGAGGGAAGCCCCAGACATGGAACACTGGTTTTGCTTATCCTTAAGACAAACTAGTTTTGATTCCTCTTAAGGACAGCAGGAACCCACAGTGACGTCCTGGCCCCTCTGGCCCTGCTTCCAGGTGGGATGATGGGCATGTGCAGGTGCTGCTGGAGCTTAAGGCCTATTCCTAAGATGTTCCTAAGAACGCTGCGGGCAGGCGGGCAGCTTTTCCCGGTTTCCCAGCCAGCTCTGGCATAGACGCACAGCCCTCCAGGCCACTGCTCTCTCCAAAGCCAGAGTCCTCCGCCCAGACTCCTATAGGCAGCACCATGCCGGGCAGAGCCCATTTTTACCCTCTCACAGAGCCAGTATTAAATTTTTCAGCGTCTGTGAGAGCTGGTTGCTAAGCATAGTCATTGTTAAAAATAAAATTATATAAAACTACAAGTAAATAAAATATATTGAAGACAAAGGTAATATGTGCTAGCAACTGACCACTTCCTGATTGTTTTGTTACATTTTGTTTTCTACGTTCTTGAGGTTACTCATGTCTACTATATCTGTGTAGTGGAAATACTACAATACGATGTGCTCCTGTGCGTGTCTTTCCGACTCTGCATTCGGTGGCCTCACATTGGTAGCTTAAAATAGGCCATGGTGGGAGTATTTACACCACGGAAACCAGCAAATGCTACAAACCAGGGCAGGCTTTTCAGAAGGCCAGGTGTTAAATATTTATCAGCACACTGCCACCTACAGGTAGATTTTATGTTTTCAGGCACTTTGGACACATTTTAGTTTATTAATTTTGTTTTCGTACTCTCCCTTCCCTTTTCTAATATTCAGTAATACATCTGTACATCTCTTATTGTTACCCAAGTAGCAAAATCTCTGACCTGAGGGGTGACCATGGGCCTCCTTAGAGCTTCACCCGTATTCTGACAGCTCAGAGCCACGGGAAGGTGAGAAGGTCATCAGAGGTAGGTCCTGAGCACCAGGCTGCAGGCCCCGGACAGCCCGAGGGGGCAGAGTGCCTGTGTCCCCCAGGCAGTGGGAGGGGACACATTCACTCATAATCTGAGCTCCCACACTGACACCGGCTGGCTGCGTTCCCGATCAGTTTCTTTCC